TTCCTACCCTCGACGACGCGTCGGACGATGAGCGCGAATGTCTCTTCGATGTTGACCTCCAGCCTGGCACTGGTCTCCATGAACCCACAGCCGCGACGCCGCGCCCACTCGAGCCCCACGGCGGCGGGCACCTGCCTGCTTTCCTGCAGATCGCACTTGTTCCCCGCGATAATCTTGACGGGCGGTACCGTTTTGGAACCGTTGTTCGAGGACCCGTACATGTTACCGCCGTTGTAGCTACCCGAGGGGAAAGTCGGTGTGAGGCCCGCGCGCCGCGCCCGCTCGGCGTTATCGAGTCGCGTCTCGGCTTCCATGTCGATTAGGTCGTTAAAGTACTGTAGCGCTTCGAGCGAGGCTTGCGAGGTAATATCGTAGACTAGGAGGAAGGCATCGGCGCCTAGGTTCGACGATGCCCACATGCCGCGGTACTCCTCCTGGCCGGCCGTGTCTGTGAGAGAGAGGTGGTAAATCTGACCATCGATGCGGCGGGTTATCGAGTAGGAATCTTCGATTGTGGGGTCGTACTCTGACGTCCACTGGGACCGGACGAGTCGGAGAGTGATGGAGGACTTTCCGCAACCGCCATCGCCGCAAATGGTGATGGATATGGGTATCGGCGTTTGCTGCGTTGTGGAATCGGACGTCATATCGTGATGTCGGCCTGCGGGAAATGGGTAGTCGAGGGCGATTCGGCTCGACCTCACAATCGATCGTAAGCGGGAGGCTGAAAAACGGTTGTCGGTACGTAAAGAGGGGCCGTCAGAATGAATTTAGTGTGGCGATTGGCGACTTGTATTATCTAGTAGTTCACCTGTCTCAGGCGCTGTCTTAGGGCTAAGGCGCGATTGTCTGGGGTGAGCTTGGCTGACAGTTAGGCCTTGCGATTGAGTTACAGATACTTCGTGCACCTAGAGCTCCTGGGTTGGAGGAAGGGCAACAAAACGAAAATAAAATGGCCAGAGGGAAAGAAGGAACAAATAATAGGAAGAATAATAACCGTATAAACCAGTCGGGAAAGATTGGTTCAGGATCTCTGCCGATGGACGGGAAAATGTTCCGGTGGGCCTTTTGATTGCGACGACAGGAGAGCCAAGAGGTAGAGCGATCAAGTTCGTCAAAGGCTATCTGTTTCGGTCCGTATTGTCGTGCTAATGGCCAACGGCTGCCACCAAAATGAGTTTGATTCGTTTCGAAGAGGATCAAGCGAGACACCGCCGTGAGAAACAGCAAGGTCGTATTAGACTTGCAAGTATCGCTAAGGGGAACGACAGAGGTGAATGAGGGCGAATACGAAGGTGGGACCAAGTTCGAAAGGTCGACGTTCGATCCTATCAAGGGACACCCTTCTGATGCAGGAATCAGCTGGAAGAAATATCGGTCTCGAGGATTTGGGGATGTCGAAGTTTTTCGTTTCCCGATGGCTGTGCTTTTTTGAGTTGCCAAAGGCACGGGGGCCCCTACTTTTTGCCCTTGCTTTTTTCCTGGTTCGGGACCTTCCAGTGGCGGTTCGACGGTTGTAACTTGGAGGTCTAAGCGGGAAAATGGGTGTCTTCAACGGATTGATCGGTTACTTCGTACTTGGAGAGCAGCCACCAGACGCGTCTGGATTCGGCACCTTCACACCACGAAAATTCCCGTCGAGTGTCAGTGCGCAAGTAGCGGGGGCATCGAGATGGAAAAAAGGGGAGGCACAGATAGTCCGAAGAGCTGAGTAACTTCGCAGGATATCTTTTTGTTTTTCTCTCCAAGGAGACCATGAGCACGCCAGCGAATGGTAGAGTCTCATCACCAGGGTTGTAGTGAAGAAGTTGATGGAAATAGCGTGGGATTATCCTCAGTACAAGTCACATCTCATATCAAATTTACTTCACATGTAACAGTTCGGAATCAACGTGCCTTCTCCTACTCTACTTCGTAGTGTCGGTGCGAGAGTGTTTCTCTGCGTGGTGACCAACCCACCTCTTTCCTACGTTTCCCCGTGGCATCGATTGACATCTGCATCAAACTGCGGAGGACCTTGCAGGCCAGTATCACACAGGCCAGACCGGGCCAACACGAGCCCGCTCGCTTGACAATCGCCAATCTGACCCATCATGTCACGGCTTGCAGGGAATATCTGCAGGACAAGTGTTGATAATTCCGCTTCTGTCTGGGGTATTTCGGCCTTCACAGTGGGGAAGAAGGAGTTTTCTTTGGAAGATACCCAACTTCATGGTGTATGTACATCACTCCTGCCCCCTACGAAGTGGAGCAGTACGTACCTCAGGATAGCTCAGGAATTGACGCCAGTCCGAGGCTCGATAATTCCTGTTGACAGGGCTGGTGGTGCCTGACCCCTGAAAAAGGGCTTCGTATCATGGAAAGGACTGAGGTCGGGAAGTTGTTGTGCCTTGCACGCCGGCGACCTGTGATAGGCTCTACGGAACATCTACATATCTACATGTTCGTGCGGTGATGTAATGTCTGAGGACCCCTTGGCTGGTGCCTTCCATTTAATTCTTGGAAACGGAGTACAAACTGAGTACGATATGTGAAATAAGAAATTGCACCCATTGATTTGATTGATCTTGCAAACTGTGCTCAAATCAAAACCCCACCCTCGCCTTATCACATGCAGGTGGGAGAGAAGGAACCACTCCAAAAAGTGAGCCCATGGTACAAGACAAGATAAGAACAGGGCGCAATGTGGTGGGTGCTGGGAAGGCTTGCCTGAGTCCCTCCTGCCCCTGCTCCAAATTGACCCTAGTCTGGAATGGCAATCCAGGGGTCCATTGCCAGTCCGCCAGCCACTCATCGGCGAGGCTTCCTTCCTGGTCCTGGACACGAGGTATACACTACACTATGAAGGGTGCTGGTGATACTATTTGTACTTCATCAATACCTCGTCCAAGGCGGGGAAGGCCTAGCCGACGCCCAGGGTCCCGCTCCTCTGCGGCGCTAAGGAGCAGGCAGTAAGATCAATATCCGTCCGAGAAGACAATTGTGAGTGAATACCGAAGTGTTAGTTGAACGCTTTCATCAATTTTGGGTGCCCATTGATCTCGTTGATCCCTTCTGCAGGGACCGGGATTGTCTTCAAGGAATATGGCGTCGACCCAGAGATCCGTGTTTCACCCCGCGCCATGATTCAGGCGTTTCCAGCAGCACATCCTGTTGCGCACAGAGAGACTTGTCTTCACGCCAACAACTTTGGATTGAGAAGATCAGCATAATTACCTAACTCGCATGCAGAATTGACCATATGACAACAAAACCCGAGGGCAGCCCTAACCATTTCCCCTCTCTTCTGCTGGAGTGGCAGAAAACGGTACGGATCAATAAACCCGGTATCCCAAGACATCAATTGATCAATGCGAACGTTATCTGTCAAAGGCCTCTACCGTCTCTGACATTCGCAGCCAAGAAGATGAGAAACAGCTCCGCCCCGCTGACCTGTTTTATTCGAGCTCTCTTCTTGTAATACACCGTGGCATCGTGGTTCCCCCTGATCCGGCACTTGTTGTTTGTCTTCAGCCCTGACCCTCGAAAGTCATCTGTTCGAAACACCATCCATTCCATCAATGCGTCTCAAGACCTCTCTTCCCCAACGAGCAGGACGGTTTGCCCCCACCCATTTAAACGCATAACAAGATGTGATGCAATGCTACCGTTTCTACCGAGAGAAGCTTTATACTCTCCGCAACAAGAGTGCGATTTGACATCAGTCCCTACCTCGCACACTATTCTCCGAAACCATGCGATCTGAGCTCAAGCTCCTAAGATGGTCGCGGCAAGCGCTTCGATATCCCTGTGCCAATCTCGACTCTACCTATCAATCCAACTTTACCCTCACAGCATGCAAGTCGAACTGTCTAAGCAGAGCGAGCGAAAGCGCCATGGTGCATGTCGTTGGCAGGCAGCCTCTTGAGTGGTCGCGTGGGGAAGTACTTCGTACCACATGGGGACCCCACCTCTTTGGAGAAGATGCGTTGGCCTCACTTTCTGAGCCGAGCCCTTCTTGGCCCTTCTTGTGTACCCCAGAAGCATCGGGAACCACTTTCCAAGGTCATGGCTGATCAGTCGGCGAAGACTGCTTGGGCCTGCTCCGACCTATTGTTCGACAGGAACTTTGACCTTCAGGCCGGGTAATGAGGATTAGTCATGGCGTGTTCGAGAATCCGACTTTGAACTCGGAGCCGAGGTTGAGGCCCGGAAGGTTAAGTGAAGCTTCAGGGTTTTCTGGGCTTCCTTCCTTGCCTTGAAATACTAAGCCGTTGAGAATAGCAGGAGACAACGAACGCTACAGAGCGAGAAGTACAGACACCAGTTAGCAATTATGTTCCCAAAGATGAAATGGGAAACTCTGTTCGCATCCCACGTTCATCATCGGAGCCAGAAACTCTCGGCACCCCTCTCCATCACGTCACCCCAGATCTAAATCGAATAATCTTCGAACCTTCGCCGCCCATTGGCCAATTACATCACCATCTCGCAAGAACCACACTAACCCCAGAATCGCTTTTGACTGCTGTGGGTGAGAAAAAAAATCCGCACGCCGGCGCCGGAGATGCCAGGCACCGGGCCCCATTTGGTTACTCATTCCCATAGGTTAGTTCACTGGGACACCTTTATTTTTTTTTTTTTTTAATTCTCTCACTCTTTCCTTCTCTTCCGTACAAAGTGGAACGAAAAAAATGTCGAAGGGCCATTCTGGAGTGTACCGCGTATCTGGAGTCATGATTTAGAACGACATCTATATAAGAAGCTGCAAGGAGTGAGAAAAAATAGAACAAGGAAACACATTCCTCCTCCTCTCGTCTGCACACAAGTCTAAAGTTCTCTACTCGCGTGGTTTTCTCAAATTTTTTTTTTCTTTTTTATTCTATTCTTTTTCTTTCTCCGTTTTGTTTTCTCCACCACACTCTACACATCACTCGGAAACAATAGTCCTCGAGCAACGAAGGGCATAAGAGAAAAGGAGCCAAGACAAAAATTCACCACGGGGACTACAATCAGATAAGATGGGCGGGGCAAGCAACCCTGCTGTCGATGAGCATCAGTCTCTGAATAGGGCTGACGAAGTCGAGGATGCAAGTGGCTCCCTTCCCTCTAACTATTCTTCCGTTCCCCACAATATCCATGTCGTAATGCGTTTGTATCTTTGTACAGATTCCCAGAGCTAACATGTTGTGCTCGTATCATAGCTCCTGGATGCAGTCAAGGCTCTTATTATACCCTTTATCCGCAGTGCGGATGAGGCGGCCCCTCTGAAGGCATCGGGTAACTCGACGGTCACTGCTTCTACTGGTGAGAAGTGGAATGCTCTCGTCGACGAGCATGAGCCCGAGGCCCTACTACAGAAGTTCAAGCTTGAGCTTCCGGACAAGGCGCAAGGCAAGGATGGGGTCCTGGGATTGGTCCAACAGGTGCTAAAGTACAGCGTCAACACGTGGGACCAAGGGTTCATGGACAAGCTCTATGCAAGCAACACTGCCGTGAGTAGTTCTTTGTCTCGGATCATGCTGGAAGACACCAAGTACTGAATCACGGATAGGTCGGTGTTGTTGCAGACTTGTTACTCTCTGTCCTAAACACAAATGTGAGTCGTCGATACCAACTCGGAAGGGATAGCGACTGTGCTAACTTCGTGGTGTTCATAGCTTCATGTGTACCAGGTATCACCAGCCTTGACTCTAATAGAGAAGCTCACGGCTCGGCAATTCGCAAGACTATTTGGATTTACCGGCCCTAGGGCAGGCGGAGTCGTCTGCCAGGGTGGAAGCTCATCCAATTTCACTTCTCTTGTCATCGCCAAGAACACTCTCTACCCGGAGACTAAGTTGACTGGCAACGCGGGTTACGACTTTGCCATCTTCACCAGTGTCCACGGCCACTACTCTGTCGAGAAGGGTGCGATATCATGCGGTTTGGGCAAGTCGAGCGTCCGAACCATCCCCGTTGATGAGTTCGGCTCCATGATACCCTCAGCGCTCCGAGACGCTGTCGTCCAGGCCAAGTCGGAAGGAAAGACACCGTTCTACGTCAACGCTACCGCTGGCACAACGGTATTGGGATCGTACGACCCACTGGAGGAAATCTCGGCCATCTGCAAGGAATTCAACCTCTGGATGCACGTAGACGGTAGCTGGGGTGGCCCGGCGATCCTGTCACGCAAGCACAGCCTTAAGATGAAGGGATCGCACCTCGCAGACTCTTTGACGGTCAACCCGCACAAGATGCTCAACGCCCCGGTAACCTGCTCCTTCCTCCTCACCCCCGACATCAAGGTCTTCCATAGGGCCAACAGCCTCCCAGCTGGTTACCTCTTCCACTCCGTAGACGAAGGCGAGGTGTGGGACCTCGCAGACCTCACGCTACAATGCGGTCGTCGCGGCGATGCTGTCAAGCTCGCGCTGGCGTGGACGTACTACGGAGCGCAGGGCTTCGAGCAGCAAATCGACCACGCCTTTAACATGGCGGCGTATCTGGCGACGCTCATCGACAGGAGCGCCGATGTCGTGCTCGTGTCGACGAACCCGCCGCCGTGCCTGCAGGTGTGCTTCTACTACGCGCCGGGCGGGAAGGTCTCGGACGACGTGGCGCTCAACACGAGGACGACGAGCGAGGTGGCGAGGAGGTTGGTTTCGAGGGGGTTCATGATCGATTATGCGCCGGGCGACAAGGGAAGTTTCTTTAGGGTGGTTGTGAACTGTCAGACATTGAGCGGGACTGTGGAGGGGTTGGTGAAGGCGGTTGAGGAAGTTGGGAAGGAGGTCTGGAACGAGAACAAGGCATAAAGGGCTGGGTGTGTTTGATAATAAATAGACTGGTTTGATGTATCCTGATAGATCTCGACTTATGATATTTTGACGTACATTCAACATGGTTTAATCTCTTCAGTTGATGTCCACGTGCGTTTAGTACAATGATGTTGCAGATCGATCGTCCTGACCCTGTGGATCATGGAACCTTATCGTGTACCAAGTACGTACGGTGATTCCTGTCGAATGTGCCGAGGATCGCTGGCCATTGTCATACCCTTGTTGAAGTTAAACGTGGTTTGGGCGAGGAACTATGGAGTTACATAGTATTAGGCTGTTCGTCTTACATGTCACTTTTCTGTACGTCCACGATATCGAACCCTTTCAATCAGATTGGGAGCATGGGGGCACACGACAATCCCCCCCGCTCATTGACCTGGAGTCGTGTCTTGTACCGGATACTTTCTTCAAGCGACCGTTTCCACCAATCATCACCAAAAATAGATACATCGTAAGTATTATCGACCTGGTGATCTGCCTCTATTGATGAAGGCATCAATCATGTTGAAGTTGAACAACCTGTCTCTTAGAAATAGCGAAGAATAATGACACGAAAAACAAAATTAGAGCTCAAAGACATCGATGCCAATAAGTGCACCCCGACTTGGCCTGCTAATTGCGTCTGAGACAGGGGAGAGTGAATTCATGAGACACCAGAGCCCTGAGCTGACTCTCAGAGTCTGACAGCTGGCAGCTGGCAACTGCGGGATTCAGGCTCGTCTCACCGCTTACAGCGACCATTGCCCACCAAAGACGAGGACACCGCCACCTTTATCGCCGCTGGAGACGCCTCAACTTGTGCTGGCTCACTGCACGATTCTCCCGTCTGTCCACACCATCCAAGTTGTTCGGGACTCTGGTGCCTGGTCGAAATTTACTGCCACATTTCGTTCCTCTCCCCCCAAAGCCCCCCCAGACGAAAAACCTCCGCACGCTGCGACTTCGCATTGCACTGCCTTCCTGGCCCCTGCTTCCAGTTCTCGCTCGAATTGCTGGGAAACAAAAACAAAAAGGTTCGTTCTCTAAGCCACCTCCCCTCGATCCCTCATCGTATTTCTCTCTTTTCTTTGGGCCGTTGTTCCTGTGTTTGGGAATATTTTTGTTTCAAGTAGGCCTTTTTTGGACCCCTGTTGGCCTCGGGCGCATCCGTACTCGCACAAGGCTGTTGGCCCGTTTCGGCGCGTTTTTTTCCCCTTCTGTTTGCTCAATTTGAATCCACATTCCCCTTTTCACCAAGGCCGATTGTCCTTTCGAAGCAAAAATCCGCTATTCACGACCCTGCACGACAGGTCTGCCTTTCGATAAAGCTGACCTCGGTTGACCTCGTAGCAATAGACATTGAACATTTGTCTCCCTCGACCGAAAAAAACCCGGTGGCTTCTGCTTTCGCCAGCTGGGAACGAGAGCGTCTGACCTCCTAATACCAACTCCCTCATCCCCGAGAAACCTCGATCCTACAAGCCAACTCTCCTCGTCACCTCCCAAATCGCTACCGTCAATAGCCACAAGCTCTCCAATCAGCTTTTCTCCTTCCCCCCTTCTACTCCTGCGTCCGACGGCTGCGCCACCCACGCTCCGCTTCCAAATTCGCACAACAGACGAACGACCTCGAAAACCCAGACCGCAACATCCCATCTCCTCATCCCCCTCCACAACCCACAATGTCTTCATCGGGCCTAACGCGGCGCCGTGGTGCCGGCGCCGGCGGTGGAGATGGCGAGGCCGGCAGCAGTTCGCCTGGCGCCCCTCGAGCCGGCTCGTCGAGTAACTTTAAGGACAGCGCCCCCGAAACGAGCTACGAGAGCGGCGAGAACGGACACAAGATTGCCTTTGACCCGCGCGATATCAGCGAGAGCGTTGAGCGGAGCAAGCAGCCCAAGTTGACGCTGATGGAGGAGGTGTTACTACTTGGATTGAAAGATAAGCAGGTACGCACACATCTTGAGAAAGGGGTCGCGTGCGAAGTAATACACAAGGAACATGAAGGGCTATCGCGACAGCTATAACTGACGTTACCTTCTTTTTGCAGGGATATCTCTCTTTCTGGAACGACAACATCTCGTACGCTCTCAGAGGATGCATAGTCATCGAACTTGCTTTCCGTGGACGGGTTAGCATGCAGAAGGACCCTTCGAGGCGGCGGTTCCCCCTTCCCGATCGTATAATTGAAGTTATTGATGATACCCTTACCGGCGAGGTTCTTCTTGACGAGGCCTTGAAGTTGATGAAGTCGAGCGAGAAGATGAGCGTTAGCTCCTGGATCGATCTACTGAGTGGTACGCACGACAAACTGCACCCCGCCTCTATTCTCTCGAGACACCTCCCACATGAAAGACACGCAAGCGCACACAACACTGAATATACACACCATATTTTCTAACCCTCCTTTCCTTCTGCCTTTTACTAACACAAAGCCTCTACCCCTAGGCGAAACCTGGAACCTCATGAAAATAGGCTACCAGCTCAAACAAGTCCGCGAACGCCTCGCAAAAGGCCTCGTAGACAAAGGCATCCTCCGCACCGAAAAGCGCAACTTCCTCCTCTTCGACATGGCCACCCACCCCGTAGCCGACGGCGGCGCCAAGGAGGAGCTCCGCCGCCGCGTCCGCAACGTCCTCACCCAGCGCACCGTCGTCCTCGCGGGCAACCAGTTCCTGCCCGAGAATCTCGAGTTCCGCTACCTCCGCACCATCGCCATGGTCTGCGCCGCCTACGCTGCCAACGTGCTCGAGAACGCGCTCTCGTCGCTGGGCCACGAGGCGAGGGAGCGGGCGTTCGCGCAAACGGACGATTTGTTGGCGGATTATAGCCAGTGGCCTTTTGGGCGGAAGGCGGTGGGGAATGGGGTTGGGGCGAATTTGCCGGGTGTTATAGCTGAGGTGGGTGATGGACATGAACACACATTCATCCCTTCTCTACGATTTTACGTTATTCAACTTTCGGATTTGAGACTGACAATGAATTTTTATAGGAGGTGAACAATGCCAAGGATAGGGAACTTCAGCTCGAAGTTGTAGCCGCATGCTTGAACGTATTCACTACTCTCGACTCTCTCCTGTAAACTTCCTGGATCAGACAACCTTTATATTCGCTTTTCTTTTCCGTACACCTTTCTTTCCTCGCTAATAACTTTGCAAAAAAAAATAATTCAAAAAAGAAGAAAGCCTACTCGAATTGAGATGACACCCCTACCTACATCTGATTCTTCTTCTCCCGGGTATAACAGGGAATGGAAAGCTAGGAGCTGGCTGGGTTTCTTTTTTTTTTAAAAATGAGCTGGTGGAAAAAGATATTCCTGGAGTCTTATGGTCCGTTTTGTTTTTCTTTGCCAAAAACCAAAACCTTCTGCTCGAGGATGAAGCTTCACTGGCTTGAATTGGTGACGAAAAGATAAGAGAATATGCGAGATGAAAAGGGAGAGAATTTCCGACGTGATGAGGGCTTGGGGGGGGATCATGGTCTCTCTTGGAAAGGGGGGTATTAAGAAACCGGGGACTTGGTTCGTACACTGGGGTTTCAAGGGTTATTTACAAATGTTGATAGTTTTTCTGGTAGTTCTTCTCTGGTGTTTGACAGCTTTCTTTCTTTCTTTCTTTCTTTCTTTCTTCTCTTGTTTATCCCTTTTCACTGATGGGGAACTGTTTTGTGATATGTATGCTGCTTTTGTTTGTATGGAAGGATGTTGTTTTCAGCCCACTGATAGCGATGCCGTTAAGGGATCTTGCTAAGGTCAGACAGAGATTGGCGACGTCAACCGCTTCAGCGCAAATGAGAGTAGGAAAATGAACAGCTATTGAGCCAATATAGAAATACCCATTTTTTGCGAATCCGTAAATGCTGCGAGAAAGGGAGGAAGAGAAAAAAAAAAAAAAAAAAAAAAAAAAAAAGAAGGAAATCAAAAACTCCTTTCCATGCATCACAAAAAGAAAAGAAAAAAATGAGAGAAATCTTACAACCCCATCAAACCGATTCATCAAAACATGATCCCCTCATCCCCACCGTTCATTTCTTCCCAGCACCGCCAAACCTCCCCTCAAAACCCGGCCGATTCTTCTTCTTAGCACCCACACCGCCCTTCTTCTTCCCCAGCTTCCCCAACTTCTTCTCCTCCTTCCTCTTCCGAATATTCTCCTCCCTCTTCTTCTGCCGCTGCTTGATCCCGGACTCGACGGCCTGCTTCCTATCCTTCCACTCCTTTTCGCTCTTGCGCTTCGTGCGCTCCTTTCGCTTGACGGCCTTTTTGAGTAAGCCTTCGTCGTCGCGGATCTTCTCGCCTTCGGCGCGACGCCGCGCGGTTAACCACGTTTCCTTCTCCTCGATCTCCTTGCGCTTCTCCTCGTCCAGCTCGGCGAGGCGTTTCTTCTGGTTTTGGAGCTTAAGCAGCGCCGTCTTGGGATCCGAGGGGCCCTTCTTATGCTCGCGGTTGAGCACGTAACTAAGGTCATGCGAGAGCTGCGTCCCGTCGCCGAACGCGACCCTACCAAACGAGAAGTTCCCCTCGTCGAACTCATCCCCGGGACTCATCACCGACGGCGAATTCGCCTTCAGCGCCTCCTCCCGCTTCCGCTCCTCTTCGAGCTTAGCCACCTTGCGCATCTCCTTCTTATGCTCCTTGCGCTGGGCCTGCTTCTGCCGCCGTTGCTCGAGGAGTTCCTGCCGCGAGCGGATGGGCTTGCCGTCGGGCCCGTCGGCCTTGCGGGCGGCGCGGAGCGCGGCGAGGCGCGCGGCGAACCGCTCACGGAAGGCTGTCGTGTCTTCGGGGATTTTTATGTGTTTGGGTTTGTCGGAGGGCGGGACGGCGGAGGATACGGAGGTGGTGGTGCTGGCGGCTTCGGCTTGGGTGGCTTGTTGGGAGAGGGCGTCGGAGGAGTCGAAGGTGGGGGAGTGGGGTTCGGAGGATGTGGACGATTCGTTGTCGGCTTGGGGGACATTATTTGTTTGTTCAGCTGTCTCTGTGGCAGGCTCCGTCATCTCGATATCTTCGGTTGTGGCCGGCGCGGTGACGTCCTCCTTGTCCTCCTTGTTCTTCTTCTCCTTCTTCTCCTTGGCGGCCGCCTTCTTAGCCGCCTTCTTCTCCTGCAGCTTCTGTGCCTTTTCCGCTTTCCTGGCCTTCTTGGCCTCCCGAGTAGCCTCGTCGAGTAATTGGTCGGCGGCCTTCTTCTCGTCCGTAGGGCTGTCGACCTTTAGCTTCTTCTTCTTCGGCCCGGGGGTTCCTTGGACCGTTGCCGTCTCATCGTCGGCGGGGGTATCCTTATTATCGGCCTCGGCGTCCCTATCTTCCAACTTGCGCTTGTTTCCTTCCTTCTCGGGGGAGGCGGTCTCTTGTTCGTCGTTGTCGTCGCCATCGTTTACGGCGTTCTCGGCGTCAAGGGCGGCTTGCGCTGCCTTGGCCGCTTTGGCCTTGGCCTTCTTTGCCTTCTTCTTGCTCTGTAAAAGAAAAGCGGGGGTTTGTGAGTCCGGAGTAGAACGTAATGTATTGATTTGACAACATAGCTGAGAGAAGCCTCTATGCTTTGGGGGGCACGAGAGGAGTTCGGCCTATCTAGGCACGAGACCTCCGGTGGAAGTCGAACTAAAACGGACAACATACCTGTGGCTCGTCATCATCCGCATAATGCATCCTCGTCGGGATCAAGCTCAAAAGCCCACTAAATGCATTCTCATCCTCGGCGAGGCGTTTCTAAGAAAATACCCTCATCTCGTAAGCTTTCAGCCATCCTTGAAAAACAATTTGCCCTGCCATCAGAAAGCGGGGCAACAAAGCAAGGGCCTTGCCTGGTTCAAAGGAAAAAAAAATCAATTAGAAAACGAACCTGGAGTACAGAAGGCCCCATTCTGACTATTCTTAGACTTCTAGCAACCCGCCCGGAATTGTCGTCGTGGATGGGCTCGAGAATGAAGGAGAGTGCCACAAGGCCGTGGGGGAAGGGAAAAAAGTCGGTGGTGGGTGTGAACAAAGAGAAAATGGATTTGGTAAAATTTCGGTGATGGATTTGATTTCGCCCAGTAAAACCAGGCCTGAAGTGGGTATTTTGATTGGAAATTTTTGTGGAGGTTTTGGCTTGGCAGGAAATCTTGGCACTTTTTTTCCTTTTTTTCTGCCCGGGGGCGGTGAGCCCTCATTTTTTTGGAGCAGGAGCAGGAGCAACCACACCAGCTCTGAGCTAAAGTGGTACGTGCTCAGGTACCACATCCCACGCACCCATCGAGACTAGATCGAGAAGTACCGAGGTACCCCCACCTCCTTGTCCATCTCCAAGTCCTTGAGATCATGAAGTGCCCGGCTCCTTCTCAGGATTCGCTCTATCAATATGTAGCGAATATGTTGTCTTTGAGAAAAACGAAACATCAAGGTCTATAACTAAACTCTGCAACCTCTTCCTGACGTTGAACCTAGAATAAAATGCGAGTCCATTAAGCAGGATCTAAGTTGCTACGGCTGCCAGGTGCAGGGAGGTGGTCAACCATGTCTCGACTGGGTATCTCTGGTCCAGACCTAACACTCCATATCTCTCTCTTTGGTAATGGGATTATACATCAATGTTATGCTAATGACTTCCGAATGGTTGAAATGACAAAGGAAACAGAAACATTGTAAAAAAAGACACCAGAGCCGACAGACACCTTTCGCAACAAGCCACGGATGCAATAACCATACGCCAGTACCATAGAGCTCACATGTCAACAGCTCCTCTAATGAATGGCTGCTGTAAAGCCTAGAGTTCCGAGAAACAAAACAAATGAAATCATGATAATAAATGATTTTGTGAAAGGATGAAGAATTTTGAGTTGACAGTCGGCGAACGCCGTGAATCTCGTGATTGAATTAGCTGGCCGTCGCCGTAGCTGTCAGGGGCGTGGTGGGCTGCAAGAGGCCGTAAGGATTGCTATTCGGCTTCGGGGAAGTCGATTTAGCGGGCTTCTCCTTCTCTGCCTTCTCTCGCTCAGATGCAGCCTTAGCCTTGGCACCGCGCGCTCGTTTCGCTGCGCCGCCGCCCCGAGATCCGGGGCCGCCACCCCGGCCAGTGCCGCCGTTACCTCGAGTGGTACCGCCTCGACTTCCTCGACCGCCTCGGCTACCGCGTCCTCGCTTGGGTGGTTCACTGCGTACTATGTTAGCAACTCTGTTCGAGCGATGGAAATAGGCCACATGAGGGGAGGGGGGAAAGGATGATAACGTACGATACAGCAGGCTTCTCCACTTCCTGGATGAGAGGGCCTGAGTAAACAAAAAATCCATCTCGGCTGGCCGCCGCTTGCTCCTCCCACAACAGCTCCGAGTCATCCACAAAGTCGTCTTCCCTATCGTATTCGTCCTCCTTAAAGTTACGCTTCTTCTTCGCCGGCTTCGCAGGAACATCAACACCACTAGCAGCACCACCAGCGTGGTCCGCGCTCGCGCCTTCGCCGTCGGAAACGTCCTCGGACATCTCATCGCCAGATTCCCTGCCGGATCCGCTCTTCTCAAGCGCCGACGCAGCAGCGGCGATGCGTGCCTTACGGTCGCGGTGGGCCGCCAGTCGCGGGTGGAGCGCATCCCAACCGTAACGGTCCTCGGCCAAGCGCATGAAGTTGACGTACTTGTTGGTTTCTCCGGGAGCGATGGAGATTTCCAGCACGATGGTAGGCGCCTGGAACTCTTCGCCGGGTTTCGCTTTGCCAAAGTCGAGGATGGACCGTTCATTCTCTTTTTCTCCGCCCGCCGAGGGTTCTTCGAGGTTATGTGTCTTTGGAGAGGAAGCAGCGGTAGGTGCTATTCTTTGCTTCGGCGAAGGCTTCTTGGACGTCTGGCCATGCTTGCTCTCTTTCGCCGGCTTATCCTTCGCTTGGGTCTCGGATTTGGCAGATGCGGCCTTCTTGGTTTCCACGGCGAGCGCGGGGAAAGATGTCGGTTTCGGCTTCGTGTCGGGAAGGCTCGAGCGCGGTACTTGCGGTGTAGGAGAAGGAGGAATCGAGGGAGGTTCTTGGGTCGGGCGCAACGGCAGTACTGGTTGTTGAGAAGACTGCCGCGACACTTGCGGGGGAGAAATAGGGTGGGCGTGCGGCATGGGGTCGACGAGAATAGAGATGGACGGTGAAGCGCTAGCTCGGCTAGACACTTGGGTTGTGGGCTGGCGTGGCGAGTTGATCGAGTTCGTCCCGTAGGGGTCGCGCGTGATCATGGTTTCGCGGACGGGGTCGTAATTTCCGCGAATAGGGTCGTAATTTTGACCGCTGGTGCGAACGGGGACATCGGTCGCGTTTAAAATGTTTTTCATAGAGCTCACGTGTGGCTCACGTTTCGGTGCCTTGACAGGGAAATCCTGCTGGCTAGGTGTCTTGGGTTCCGTCTTCGGCTCCACGCTGACGAGGTCCGTAATCTTAGTTTGGCGCGACGGGACTGCTGGAGGAGTGGCGGACGTGGGGGTAGGCGACGCATTTGATGCACCAGACGCTAGAGACTTCGAGTCGGCGCCCACGTTCGCTTCGGTGTTAGGTGCCGACTTTCGCTTACGCTGTACAGGAGGCGCGTTAGGATCCCTGGGCTTCCTGGGCTTCCGCTGCTTTGGGGCCTCTTGAGTGGTTTCGGTGGTAGCCGCTGTAGTGGCCTTCGGTTTGACCGTGGTTCCTGGCTTTCGTCCAGGCTTCTTGCGGGGCAGACCGGCCGCTGTTAACTGTACTGGCTGTCCATCTTTCGTCGCCGCTTCCGAGCCGACGACTATCTCATCCATATCTTTTCTTGTCGGCTTGTAGGTCCTAGGAGGAGAGGCGGGCGGAGAAATGACGGAAGGGGGTGAAGAGAGTTCTGGTGATGAGATTCCTGCCGCGGCCCTATCTTGTCGGGCCGTGACCATGTTGGAATGATAAAAATTTCGCGCTTTCGTGTCTCGTCTCGTTGCACGTTCGTAAGAATAGCTTCTTGAGGCTAGCAATCCGCAACAATTGATAGTGTAGTCAAATGCAAACGACGAAGGTCGAAGAACAGGAGAACTTCAAACGCAATGCTGAAAAGATGCGTTTCTGGTCGACAAAGAAGGCGAACAAAAATTAAACCATCGACACCGGAAATATGTGGGAGGGGGGAAAAGGAAAGAGGAGAAAAGAAAGGCCGGAGCCTCAAAAACGAATCGAGAATATTGCGGGACCGAATGTGAATCGACAATGGCCTTCTCTTTTGACTGACTGGAACCAGTCGCGAAATGGCCTCGAGGCTAACTCTAATCGCAGGAGCGTGTGGATTTGGCGTGGGAAGGCTTGGTAAATATCGACCAATAGAAAATGAGGCCGGATCAGGCTGTGCCAGCGGTAGAACACAGTGGGAACGTGACCAAGAAAAAAGAGGACTTGGCACCCAGAAACAGCTGAGTGTGGCAGGGTGGGAAATTCCGGGCACCAGGCCCGTGCGTGTGTGGAGGGAAAAGGGACAATAGGAAAGTCCCGAATAGCCTCACTCGCAGAACAGCAGAAACCTCACGATATCTCGTCCCAACGACAATCGCTCGCTTTTATGGTTCGAAAACGCAGTAGAGAGGTCGGGTTCGTGCCAATCAGATTGCATAAATCAAAAGGTCGCGATTTCGAGCTTATTATGATGCACTTTTTGAGATGTATTCGATGCGGCGACAATGTGTTTTGATGGATTTTCGTCCGATGTGGTCAAATGTGGTGCGTTGTTGTGGTGGGAAAATGAAAGGTGTAAAAGAGAGAATCGGGGAGAGGAGAGAGTTGGGGGGCGATGTGGTGATGGATACAATTTTTTTTATCCGGGGAAAGCATCAAGTTCGGGTTTTATTTAGCTCGGATGAGACAAGGGAAAATAAGAGCAGGGGGAAATGGGAAAGAGGGAAACAGCGCCCAGTGCAGAGAAACGAGAATGGGAATTGCGAATGGGGGCAATGGGGGGAAAAGAACAACACAAAGACGTCAGGTGTCGGCCGTTTAAGGGAGAGGGACGCCAGATGAAAAGCTTCATTTTGGGGCATGGAACCAATTTTATTATTAAACACGGAGCAAAGCGCTATTTGGAGACACTGGTTACTTGGACGTTGGGGGGGTGGGAGAATGTGGATCGCCGGGTTGCCAAAAACATATGGACATCGAAGTACGGTATCATCAGGATGGGGTGGTGACGGAAGAAGGGAGATTCCAGTCTGGAAGATGGGACATCACGGGTAGAAAGGGGGGGCCAAAGGGCATCAAAGCAAAGGGCGATGGGGGAGGGGAGCCGTTGGGCGGTGATGGGGGTGATGGCGACAGTACGGCGGCGGCGGAACATCGACGACTTGGAGAAAGGACGAGGACGGTAATATGCTGGAACAAAACCAGCCCGAAGGGGAAAACAACACAAACCAACAAGACTGAGAGGTCCACGTCGGCATTGATTGATACTGGGTCACGAAGAGCTCCAAGTCCAGAGGCAAGCGAAACAGCTCATCCTTGTACAAACTACAAAGGGGTCCAGCAGCAGCACCAAATGCACAACAAAGACTAGAGAGACCAGACATCAACTGCACTAATATACTTCGTACATCGATGCGGCATGCCTCGGAGGGAACAAGGTGGTGGCGCCAAGATTGGAAGCGACGCAGAGAAGGGCCCGATTTGGTTGCACATGGAGAAACGGGCATCGGACCTGGAACCTGATGAACGAACATTAACGTAACTCGTAGCTCCAGAGGGGCAAAGAGTCAAGGTACACAGCACCAGCGATTGGGGGCGGTACACGGGAATATCCCGGTATTGTACATCATGGGTGCAGGGTTGGGGCTGCCAGAAAAGTCCAAGGCACATGTACTCCATACATAGACGGAGAAGGTACAGGCCTCTGCACTCCACAACCCACTTAAAACGTACCGGTACATTGAACATTCGTGATTGACATGGGAGAGTTCATCTCAGCTGCCCATCATTCCCCCTTGTACTGGTACCTGACATTCTGTATCCGCACCTTATTTCCCGATTTAGGTACACATTGGAGAAGAAGCTTGCAATTTTCTTTGCCTGCAAGGGCGACCGAAAAATTGATTTGTGTTGCCAGCAATCGCAGAAGCCGATGAGTCGGCACCACAAACAATATTACATTGCAAAGATTCCCTATGGATATTCACAGGTCCCTTTTCCACTTGCGACACAAAATGATTCCGCGTCGAAGAGCATCGGAATTACCCGACACTTGTTTGTTGTCGTCGGCAGTCGCTGCACAGGGTGAAATCGCGCTTAAGAAATACCGCAAATGTTTCTCATCAAAGTACCGATACCTGTGTATCTCCTGAACCATCCGGGAAGAGGGAACGGTGCATCTGCAGGGAAGGAGAAGCCAATGGGAGGCAGGGGTACAAGTGGTCATCCAGCCACATTTGTCCCCGCACCATTCTGCTCCCGCTCCAAGTCTGCAGTTCAAATGTCAGTTTCAACGCTATCCACACAATGGGGTACGTAGGGTCCTCACGTGGGTTTTATGGGAGAAAATATCAATCAATCAACTAATTCAATGCTCCTCCGGTGCACGAAGTAATACGGAACACAACCCAACAGACTTACCTCCCCTGAGGCTTCAAAGTACAATAGGGGGCAAATGTCCCCCCAAATCAAGTCGCCGAACTTGAAGCTCTGATCTGTCGATCACGAAGGCTCGCCAAAATTCAAGCAGCTCCGATCTACTCGTACTTGCACATCACCCTCCCGCTTGTCCAGATCATACTTCGTATTTCCATTCGCTGGATTTATTTCGATGGTCTCGCCTCGATATCTCGCAAAATTTCGCTTTCGTCATCTTGAAATTACGCACACGAACGGTCGTCAACTCCCTCCCCGGTCCTACCAAGGTGCGCCACTTCATGCACTGCGACCTAGCACGTGGAATCCCGATCTCTTTGCTGCAACTTGACTGCTGAAAAATATTCACCTCGAAACCTCGCTACGTCGATTATTCATTCCATTCTCCTAAATATTTTTTTCTCGGATTATTATCCATATCCACATGAATATTCCTAAACTTGTTTTCCTGATTGCTGAAGAATTGTTTGTTTGGAGGCTCTCTCTTGGCGGGGTTGGCACAAGCCCATTGGCTAGCTGGGGACACCCCCTTCCCCGGCACCGCGTCTGTGGTTTTGTTCTGGAAAAGGAATCTGGCGCCGGATCGGCGCTAATGCACGGTGCTGGCAAGCCTGGCATCCAGCCGCAACTGTGGCTGGTGAGAACATTGAATTGTTTCATTGATTTCCAGAAATAGGAGACTGTGCCACAGTTTGTGAGAGAAACCTGGAATCATTCACTCTTGCTTATGTAAACACCTTCCAGAAAGGCTCGGGTCAATCGACTTTACCTTTGTTTTTCTGACTGCGGTAAGCGAGAGATAAGGCCTTTCGGAATACTAGGATGCCCCAGTGGATTCTTTGCATTTATTTGGGCTCTGGATTATTTCCGCTACGAGATTCTGATTTGGGGTCCTGTGGCTTTGCGCCCGTTCCAAGCTATTTGAGTCACTCTCGATGTATTACTAATAATACGAATCCATTACCTCCCAGTCTGATCTGGGGATTTCCACCAAAAGCCGGAGAAAGCGTCACAGCTTCAACAACAACATCAAGGAGGCGACAATCATGGCGACCAACGTATTCGTGAGCGATCTCGTCGAAAAGGAGACCTCAGCCCCAAAGCCCCTCGAAGAGTCGGATTTTCAAACACCCGCAAGCGGCTTTCCCGCGCCCAAGAAGCGAGCCAAGGTTTCGGCATTCAAACAGCGCAGGCAGGCGGCGGCGGCAGCAGCAGCAGCATCTGCGTCAGCATCCCCATCGACGGCAGCCACCAGGAACAATGCGCCGACTTCAGAAAAGGAATTCTACGCGGCGGAGAAGCAGAAGATCGACAAAGAGAATCGACAGCGACTCGCAGATATGACTCCAGCAGAGATTGAGGCGGCGAGGAGGGAGCTGATGGAAGGGTTGGATCCATCGTTGATCGAGAGACTTTTTAAGCGGGCGAACATTGATGATAGCGAATCTTCGTCGCCATTCAATATTAACACTGACAGCCAGTCTACTCCCCCGCCTGAGATTAAGGTCGAAGACACATCGACGCCCCCGCCAGCGCCGAAGGCTACGCTACCCACCGAGACATGGACAGATGAAAGAACCGTAAAGCAACCCTTATCGAAGGGACCGAACCCACAACCCATCGATGAGGATAGAGCACCCACTCGACTCCCCGAAGACCTCACACCCATAACCGACTTTCCCAGATCCACAACCCACTTCCCCTCGCAGAAAGACCCAGACCTCGACCCATCCGATCCAAACTTCCTCGAAAGCCTCCATAAGAAATACTTTCCAAATCTCCCGGCAGATCCCACGAAACTCGCGTGGATGGCGCCGCTCCCCACAGAAAACAGCGTCGCAGACAAGGAATCGCCATACCACCCCGACAAGGAATCCCTCTCAACGGGAGCGCTGCGCTTCGATTTCAAGGGAAGGCTCATCCCGCCCCGCCTCAGCCGCAAGATCCCTGTGTCGAAGGGCCTGCATCACCATGGCTTGGCACCCGAGGCAGCGGGCTATACCATTGAGGAGTTGTCCATCTTAGCACGCAGTGCGGTTCCAGCGCAGCGCTGTATAGCTTTTCAGGTGCTCGGGAGGATCCTGTTTAGGTTGGGTAACGGGGAATGGGGCGAGGATGAGAACGATCCCATTGCTATGGGTATCTGGGGGAGTGTTAAGCAGGGGAAAGTGCTGGATAGTCTCACGGAGGAGGCGACTAAGGAGCATGGACATAGGTCGAGTCAGGCGTATGCGTTGGAAGCGTTGTGGCTGTATGAGAAGGGAGGGTGGAAGGCCAAGTTTAGTGGGAGGTGAACCCGGGTATAGCCAGCATTGGGAGGATGGAAAATTGCGATAGCGAATGATGTATTCACGAGCACACCGAGGCGTTTCGTCGTTAGGTTGGACTTTGGCATCACAGGGGCGTTTACGGATATGGAAAAGCTACATGATCAACTTCACTTTCATAATAGAAGACTGACTACCTCCATGCGATTGATGTACAGACCTCGGACTTTCGCCGGGGACCTTGCATGAACGGCAAGCGTAGGGAGATGCGCCGAAAGTAGAACTACCAGGCTTCAGTCACACAATAACTACCGCCATGGAATAAACCTAACATTCACATTGGCATTATAGCAATCATTCTACTATTGTAGTGTAAAATCCGCAAGGGAAAGCTAAATCATTCCACAGCCCGCAACCGTTTTAGGATGATGACTTGGTTGGCGCTATCTCATTCATAGCGACATCCGCCTTGCCTGGTACAGTATCATTCTGACTCTCCATCTTGCCTTGAATATCTTCCTTCCCCTCAATACCAAAATTGGTCGCTCGGTGGGTGTCCATGATCTCCCGATTCCAAACGTTGACGTAGAGAGGATAACTACATTATCGGTTAGTGATTGCAACATTCGCAAACCTGCACCAATGGTAAGGAGAAGAAAAAGCAAAGCGATAATACTTACACCCAGGCGAGAATGAACCCCATCATAGGAATAGCCATCGCAGTATGAGCCCCCTTCCTATCCGTCACAGCACCAGTCATAGGAGGGAACACCATACCGCCCGAAATGGCCGCAACGAGGAGCGAACCGCCAAACTTTGTGTGCCTGCCGAGACCGCGCAGCCCGAGGGTGAAGATGGTGGCGAAACAGGCCGACTCGAAGCAGAGGACGAGGGTAAGCATGACGATGGAAGTGGTGCCGGTGGTGGTCATGGCGGCTACGATGAAGACGAAGCAGAGGCCAAGATAGATGGCCAGGACGTAGCGGGGCTTGACGGCGGGGATCGTCATGAGGCCGCCGGCGATGAAGCGGTTTAGTGCATAGAGGCCCTGGGCGATGGCAAAGAGGTCGGCTTGTTGTCGAGGTTAGACGAGGATGGCTTGGATTGTAGGCATGGGTAATGAAGTGTGGGTACTTACATGATGTGGCATCACTCCGGCCGGTCTGGGCGGCGAAGGGAATGAAGTAGTTCTAGTCCATGGTCAGGATTTTACTCTATAATTTATCCCGTGGAAGTAGAGGCAGACATACAGCTACAGCAACCTGAGCACCCACGTAGCAAAACTGCGACCACACGGCGAGGAAGAGGTTGTACTGCTTGCGGAACGGACCAGGATCTACTTCGCCAATGGCATTCTCCTGAGCGTCCATGTCGGCGTTGGTGATTTCAGGCATGGGCGCGAGGAAGAAGAGGATGATAAGAAGACCGACGAAGCAGGCGACGCCGAGATAGACCCATTGTACGTTCTTGAGACCCTGGTCGGTGTCGATGGTGTGGGCGAAGAAGACGCGGGAGGCAAGGAGCGGCGCGACTATATGGCTGGTTAGGAGCTTCACTTTCCATTGACTAACTAGGAAAATTAAAGCAATAATAGAAAACGGCCATACCGAAAGCACCAACACCTTGAATAGCCTGAGCAAGATTGAGTCGAATCTCAGAGTACTTCGGCGGACCACAGATCGACAGAAATGGATCGGCGGCAGTTTCGAGAGTTGAAAGACCCGCACCGACGACAAACATGCTGCCGCAGAAACCGCCGAAGGACTTCTTAACACCCGAGGGCCAGAACAGGAGGCATCCGACAGCGAGCACGGATAGACCCGTCATGAAGGTGATTCTGAAACCGAATCGGCGGAGGATCCATCCGGAAATGGTCGGCGGGCAGATGAAGTATGCGCCGAAGTAGGCGGAGGCAAGACCGGAAGATCGAGAAAAGTCGATGTGAAGGCTCTTTTGGAAATGGGAGTTCAACACTACATCGGCGTGGCTTGTTAGCATGTTCACCGATAAGAACTCACCAATCGAGTTTTTATTCAGGGAGCATACCATCAAGGAGTCCATACGCAAAGCCCCAAAGGAAGAATAGAATTGTGACTATAGCGTCGTTTATTAATCAGAGCCCATGGCAAAACTGGGTCTGGGGACGCCTCATACCCAAGGCATTTGGTACCAGGGATTGCCTCAAGGTGAGGCTCGCGGCCGAGGTCACGGCGCTGTCGGCGACGACGATTTTGCGATTGAACCAACCCATGGCGGTTAGGCAAAGAGCTTCGTCTAACTGGGGAGCGACACTCTTTGTTTGAGCAACGAAGTGCGGTTGGGAAGGTTCCAGACTACGATGGGGCTTCCTCTCCGCTCAGAGTAGTGATGATCAGCGCTCCAGCGCGTAAGACTTGAAAAAAAGAAGCAACAAAAAAACTCCCAAGTGCGAGACCCCGCGTGACAGACAGGACAGCTTCTCGCGTATATATAAATATACAAAGAAGAGGGGAAGTGGAGAGACCGTTGGGGATGCTGCGTGGGATCGGGAGAGCATGCAGGTCATTTAGCCCATTTACACGGATCGGATGCAAATATATAAGCCATGAGGAAGGACAAGCGACAGGCGGTACTACGCGACGAGCATGCTTGAATTATCCAAATAGAATATGAGAGATTGGCTACATGCCCTACATGCTCCTCGGTGCTCGCGCATACCTTCCCCAGAGTCCCGTAACGTGGTGGTTGCAAAGACTTGCGGGGAAAACTGCCATCAATGCACGACGTGCGATGTTCTACCCCGGATCTATCCTCGTAGTGAAGACTGAAGTACGCGACAAAGCCGGGGAAGAAGCGGGTCTCCTTCGTTCATTACAGCGAGCGCCTCGGTGGGACATAGAACCGACGATGCGGAGTGTGACAAGGTTAGCGGCGTTGTGGTGCGATGGGAACGGCAATGGTCTCGTGCGGTCCCGAGTCTATGTCCACTACTGCAACCCTAGACATGTAGGTTGCACTGGGGAAAGCGAGCCAGTGGAGGGGGTGTGGTGGAGAAGGAGATGGATGCGACCGAGAGTACTGCCGCTCATGCGGAGAAAAGCTTACAACCATCAGGCGGCAAGGAGACTGTACGAAAGCGTTATGTAGAAAGCTTCTCCATGGCCTCGTGTCGGGAGGATATAACCCGAGTATTTTAGAACAGAGAACAATTGATGGTAGTCTGCGCATAGGTTTTCTGGGGTCTTGACGTAGCCTCATTTGATCTAATGGTTAGCTGCCAGACATGGTCGACAAGAGTCGGGGATGGGAGAGACCGGGGGATCGGAAGGGTGCCTCGCTACAATCTTCATCAGGAAGAACTGGTGAGGTACAAGTAGTCCACCGGGAATTATTATCAACCTGGGATTTTTGAATGGCCAGTGAGTCGACACCGAGGGTCTCGCGCCGTTGCAAGTATCAATACTTTTGATCTTAAAATTCTGGACGGACGGGAGCTGTGTGACCGCACGGAGGAGATCTCACCCGAATTCTCCTTCTAATACATCTTTCCAAATGTTGGGGGTTGTGCATGCCGAAAAGTGTGACATTACCCTTGTGTTGTAACTCATCGAGACCCAAGGTCGAAGGAGTGGTGAACGTCTAGGTACGAAGTAGCTTCCGGCAATATCTCTTCTCTAGGAAACGTGGTCATATTTTCTTTGCCACGAGCGGGTACGGCAACGAGCGGATGGGCTCATTGGAAACACGTTTAATTTGGCAAATCCCAGGTGCGGGTGGCGGCCCAATCTCGATGGTTGAGAAGTTAGGTCTATAAACTAGGGCGTGAGGTGTTTGTCTTCTTAAGAGGCCGACGATATAATTAGGGCAATCAGTAGAGACCTTAGGAACCGAGGTGTTCTGGTTCCTGCCCGCCCTCTTTGTTAGAGATGGATGATGCTCTTGGCTATTAGCAGAGAGGTACCGAGGAAACGGTCTTGTTGACGAAGACCACGTTTGCTGGATTCAGAAGAAAAAAAAATGGTGAGTAGCACGACTGGGATGATGTCCATTTCGGATTATCCCCGAGGCCGCATGCCATTGAGACTGGCGGATGGTCTGCTTAAAAAGTTGGCTGATTCCAACAACGCAGTAACCGAATGCCAAGACAGCACTGGTGTGGGGAGTGATAATGTTGATATAAAACCAGTCGAGTATTGAGACAGAAACCTTCACTCAACCAGGTCAGGACGTGACACTTACCATTCAATCCCAGACATCGTCCGTTATTTCCTGAACCCCTTGAATCAACAGGAAAGCCTCGGATCCGACCGGAACCGGGAAAGCACCTGGAGGTCCGATTTCCACATGCTTTCTTCAGCTCCCGAGTTCAACGATGCAGGCAGCGCCAATAAAGTCGAAGCAAAATCCATGTTGAACTTGTTCGAGTCTGCTTCTGATCGCGGAGAAAGTCACGTGATACAAATCACCAAGTCATGATGCCTTTGATGCTTGTCGGTTGCTCAGGTAAGAGTTCAATTAGGGATACGGCCCGCTTCCCTTTGGGGTCTATTGGGATAGTAGAATATTGCGGACTCAACTCACACTTCATCTCGCGACAAGTTTCATCTAATGGTTTCCGTGGCTCTGAGCTAGAGCGGCATGACAGACCGCACCTGCCGCATTGCATTAAGCATCATCCTGTGATTATTGGCTGAAGAATGAGTGAGCAATCACTGAGAAATCATTGGACTGAATTCCGTCGGTCTGCCCGTGTCGGCTGGCTGACCCCCAAATTCAGTGGCTTCAAGCCCACTGAGGACACCCCGCTATCGTTCTGGAATTTGAGCTCGCGTTGAACTTGGTGCGCTAAGCAAAGGCTTGAGCCTCGAGAACGGTACTTCAGGCACTAGCTTAGGATTGTGATGCCCAAAGTACATTTACAACGGGATTGCCCCACCATTCAAACCAAGCCCTCAACTCAGTGGCAAAATAAGAGGCAAGCGCGGTCAGCACCAGCCTACACCCAGCGTGCATGCACTGCCAGCCCAGCACTTGCACTCCACGGCAGGCGGCAACACTGACTTTCATGCTGACTTTCATGCTGACTTTCAGGCTGTCTAAGCTCAGACCCACGCCTACAGACACGGAAACAGCGTTGCAGTGTTGTGGTTGTGGCTTGAATCAACATTGAAAACCTACGCCCTCACCGAAGGAATTTTTTTCTCTTTCTTTTTTTTCTCTTCTCTTCTGCTCTCCGTTCCTTTTCGTGTAGACTTGAGGTCATCATATCTTGTCGGCGCCGCCACCGCACCGCTCGTCAATTTCATCCTTCTCGGTGCTCTTCTTCTCTTCTTCTCTCTTCCCCTCTCCAGTTTCCGCCCCTTTCCCGTTATATTTTTTTGCGACCCTGTTTTCCAAGCAGCGTTGTGCGCATCGCATTAGAGCTTTCGAAGTTATCTCACATAATTTTTTTTTTTGGTCACGATCTCAGCCCAACCCGCCACGCCCAGGTAAACAGTGTCGACGTGCCATCACCGCCTTACACTGCCCTGCCGCCGCCGCCTTTTTGATCACTTTCGCCTCATCGCGAGTATCATCAATAGCCCTTTGGATCGTATCCAGTATTCATCTGTTTTCTGGATCCCGCCATCAATAATCTCGACGACGCGATTCCGCCGAGCCAAAACAAAAGGAGTTGGGACTGCCAAATTTCTTCCCCCACAACTCTTCTGCCAAATCCGACCGAAAAATATTTGCCTGCCCACACGATAACGCACTTTTGCCGTATACGCATATACACACGCTTGTAGAAGCCAGAAACCAAAGGAACTACGGGGAGGCCTTGGAACTCTCGTTACCGCTGCTACCCTAATATTCCCACATATCCTCGTCCACCTAATCGCCTTCGGGGCCCACTCCCAACCTAACGGAAAAACAAAAACAACGACATCATCAACTGTGACTTTGACTAGTCATGGCGCTGCCGTTGCAATTCGCGTACCGAACCCAGAAGGCTGTCGGTGTCGTGGACGCCGATCCTGTCTACAAGCCCGTCCTTGCCATCACCGACGTTAACTGTCGGTGCTCTCAATACTCGCCCTGCGGTCGCTGGTTCGCCTGGGCCACCACGACTGAGGTCAGCATCAGCGATGCTTCTACCGGAAGCAACGTCCTGATCATGCCCCTCAGCAGCGTCTACGAGCTGTCCTTCTCCCCGAAGGGCACGTTCTTGAGTACGTGGGAGCGTCCTTCCAAGGACGAGGCTGGCGATGCCACCAAGAACCTCAAGGTCTGGCGCGTTGAGCAGACCAGTGAGGCCAAGCCGGTTGGCCAGTTTGTACAGAAGCAACAAGATGGATGGAATCTCAACTACACCTCAGACGAAAAGTACTGCGCCCGGCTTGTTACCAACGAGGTTCAGTTCTATCAAAGTAACGACCTCCAGGTTGTCTGGAACAAGTTGCGGGTCGAGGGCGTGAAACAATTCTCCCTCGGCCCTGGCCAGCTGCGAAGCGTAGCTGTCTATGTGCCTCCCAAACAGGTATGCTATCCCCAAGAATAATTTGGTTTCTCGCTCCTTTTCTTCCCTTTTCTTTTTTTAAGCCCTGACTTCCTGTTTTGGAACTTCATCGATGCCCGCATTGATGGTTGCTTTGTCTCGGTCCCTGGGCACATTGTGTTCATCGTTTCCTCTTTTGTCTCGCCTCATTCCAAAACTCCCGCTCCGCCACTGCGCCCTGCACTCGCGTGGGGCAAAACGACTTATCGCATTTTTTTCTCCTCCCTCCTTCTTGCTTCTTGCTCGTTTACTAACGGATCTCGAATTTAGGGCTTTCCTGCCGCCGTCAAGATTTTCGATGTCTCCAACTTCACCAGCCCGATCGCCCAAAAGTCATTCTTCAAGAGTGATAAGGTGAAGCTCGATTGGAACAGCCAGGGCACCAGCCTGCTCGTGGAAGCCTTGACCGATGTCGACAAGTCGAACAAGAGCTACTACGGTGAGACTACTCTCTACCTTCTCAGCGCGAAGGGAGATTTTGATGCTCGCGTGACCCTCGACAAGGATGGTCCCATCCATGACGTCGCTTGGTCCCCAAACTCGAAGGAGTTTGGTGTTGTCTACGGCTATATGCCCGCCAAGACGACCATCTTCAATCACCGCGCCGTTGCCACCCATTCGTTCCCAATCGGCCCGCGCAACAAGATCATTTTCTCCCCCGCAGGACGGTTCGCGCTCGTTGCGGGCTTCGGTAACCTCGCCGGCCAAATCGATATCTACGATTTGGAGAAGGATTATCGCAAGCTTTGCACCATTGAGAGCGGAAACCCCAGCGTTTGCGAATGGAGCGCCGATAGCCGCTTCATCATGACGGCGACGTTGTCTCCTCGACTTCGCGTCGACAACGGAGTCAAGCTCTGGCATGTCACTGGACCACTCATTTATACCCAGGACTTTACTGAGCTCTATATGGCCCTTTGGCGCCCGGTCCCCGCCGAGAATCGAGCCAAGATCGATCCCCTCAGCGCCATCCCCGCGCCTCACCCTTCGGCGACCGCCTATCTGGGCACCGTCAAGACGCCGAGCAAGCCCGCTGGCGCCTACCGTCCGCCCGGAGCAAGGGGCCTTGCCACCCCTCTGCATTTTAAGCGCGAGGATGAAGGCGGCGCCGCCCATGTGATGACCTCCAGCACGACGGCGACGTCCACCCTTGGCCTGAACGGCTTTGGGCGTGCTCGACGTGTTGTCCCGGGAGCTGAGCCTGTCGAAGCACCGGAGACTCGCCAGGTCCCTGGCGCAGAGCCCGTCGACGGCGATGAAAATTTGTCAAAGGCGGCTCTGAAGAACAAGAAGAGGCGCGGTAGGAGGGGCAAGGGCGAAGGTGCTGGCGGCCAGAATGGAGCCGGTGCTGATGGCGAGACCGCGGCGACGACCGGCGGAGCCAACGCCAACGCTAATCTCGCGCCGCCTCGGCAGAACAACAACGATGGCCGGAGCCCTGAGCGACGCTCGAACCACCGACATCACCGAAGCGTATCGAGGAACCCCGGTTCCCGCAGCCGCAGCAACACGACCCGCGGCGTTCGCCCCGAGCCCCAGGGTGGTGTTCTCTTGAATGCCGGCCCCAACGGGCCCAATGGCCAGCACCAGCACCAGCAGCATCAGAACGCTAACAACGGTTCCGCCGCCGCTGCCGCCACCGATGCTGCTGCTCAGAACCCCAACGCGAAGAAGATTCGCAGCCTGCAGAAGAAGATTCGGGCCATTGAGGATCTCGAGATGAGATTGGCAAGGAAGGAGAAGCTTGAGGATACGCAGATGAAGAAAATTGCCACTAAGCAGGCCGTTCTGGCCGAGCTGGCGACTCTGGAAACGTCGCGCTAGATGTCCCTGAGATTTTTTCTTTTCTTTTCTCCATTCTCCACCAGGGTCTGGATATCGGGAAGGTCAATGTAGCAGTTGCCTTTTCGATAGCACAATGGCGGAAGCTTGGGTGTCCGTAGAGCGAAGCGGAGTAGGATTAGTTGGAAAAGAGTGGCGGTTGGAAGTGGAGGAGAGCAAGCATTGGGGGACGAAGATTCACTCACCTCCAGGCTTAAGGAGGCACTGCATTGGTTCAAGGAAAGGGAAAAGCCGGAGTTTTTGTCAACATGGGAAATTCAGAAGAGAGAGTCGAGGTCGGTTTGCCTCCTCCTTCCCATCACTGGTTCTGTTCTGAGACTGGGGTTCGTCGGAGTCTTCCTGACGAAAGTTGCCGGGAGCGGGAGGTTGGGTTGCCAATGAAGGGACTTGAAAGTGGGTTGATGGCTGATGGGGTGAAGGAGAGTGGGATATGAAGTGTCCTGAGATGGGAGGGGCTTTACACAGATACAAAAAAAAATCAAGATAAAATAGACTTTTTTTTTCTTCTTTGGAGTAGATGCGTTTCTCGTGGCATGGCGCTTGATGTAGGATTTAGATTTGTCCGTGGGTATTTTGTGGCTCTTAAGGAATGGAGGTGGCCATTCATTCCACCTACTTGCCCGGAGATTCCCACGCTGTTCCGACCATCTAATGTCCTGTCCTTGACGAGATCTCGATAGAGTTTGAGGTCTGCTTCGTATGGGTGGAAATCGTGGTCGGTACATTCACGTCGCCTAGATCTCATTACCAGATGCTTCCACCGTAGCTAATGGTCTTCAAGCTTTTACATTGGTGGCTAAGAATTCGCCTCGAAGACAGAGAGATCCAGGACGTGAGGCAAAGAGCAAGTTGAGTTCATGGTCAAGATGGGGAGCCTTCAAACAACATGTCGGGCCTGACCATCGCGGCCGAGACGTAAACACCACCAGACGCCTCTCGCGCTACCTATCCATCAAATTCTTCGCGACCTCTTTCAGTCGAAAGTGGCTATCCCGTGCATGGCGCACGAGTTCTTCTACATCATTATCAGTATATAGATAGGCATTCCAAGAAGTTTAGTGTGTGAAGAGTTGAAATTTACCATCTGGGGTCCCGTCAAGCGTGATGGAGTGCGTCGCACCAAACAGCCACAGCGTCGCGCCGCTCGTCCCCTCAGTCTAGGTATTCTGTCCAGAGCCCTCACCCTCCCTTGCACTGCGTGGAGAAAGATGCTCTGGGATGATCAGTTGAGGGTATGCGGAGTCGGCTATTCATTTCTTTCAGATCAGCAGCTGCTCTGGTATAGTTCAGGCGTGAAGCAACGGACCCGGAGAAAAGTGCTTGGTTGAGTGGTGATAGCTTAGCGACATCGTCCCCTCCTCGCTTGGCCTCTTCTGCTCATGGGCAGAGCGGGATTCTGGAGCGGTCGACATGGCATGCCCAACCGTAGTTGGCACCATAACAAATGAAGTCCCTGCGCCGCCGAGAAGAATCGGGACAGAATAGCTCGAGGTGCGGCCTTGCTCATTTGCGACAAAGGTTCCTGTCGAATGACGGAGGCTCCGTTCTGGGAGTGTGGAAATACAAATACGCCTTGGAGACGCGACTCGGCGCCATCCTACCGACCGGAGGAGTTTCATCTTAGCTTTCTGCTGGTACTGAAAAAGAATTCTAGACAGGACCGCAGGAGCCAAGGGGAAAAAGGAAAGGAGACCGAAAATCAAAAGGATTTAAGGTCGTCGTAATGCTGACCACTGTGACCAGGGAGCGTGAACTCGTCCAAAAGGTCCAGCCACAGTGACCAAGCACATCAATTCATCAATTTTATCGATCCCATCGATCAATTGCGACTGAAACATTTCACCATATCTTTGCATTGGATCATCTCCCTCGAGTCCACCACCCCTCTCTGCCCATTCCATACGAATCGCGCCTCCGCCATAGGTTACTTGACTTGTTTGACTCCTGGAACTGCATTCATTATTTCCCAGCAATGACGCCCGTCCGTTTCCTCACAGCCCAGCACCTGCAGCTCCTCCACTACATACACATAACGCCACTGGTTTTCAAAACGCCATCAACCAGAAAAACCACCGCTCCAATTGACACGAGCACTACCGATCAGGACAGTAGTATTTGCGACCCATGCTACCTCGAATCCGCAGCCTCATCTCCCATAAACCACCATCACTACGGAGGCGTCGACGATACGTTCCAGCTCGCCGCGCTGCTGGCAGAAAAAGTCGCGTTGAACCACGCATTCCGGGACGGAAACAAGCGTACGGCATTGTACGCCGCGGATATGTTCTTACGGGTAAACGGTGGTGCTGGGTTGCTGGTCGACGATCCTAGGGAGGCGCGCGGGATCTCGCCGCGTGGTTTGGCTCTCGCTGATGCGATGGTTGATGTCGCCACTAGGAAGTGGTCTGCTGAAGATCTTGCCAGGTTATATCGAGATGTTGGAGTGTCGAAAAGCCCATAGAAGCTTTTCGCATTACGTAGCTTGAGAAGGAAGCGGAGAGTGCGATGGTCGGCTGAGGGTATGAAACTGAAGGCCGAACCTTGGGTGGAGCTTTCTCGATTGGAAGAGAGGGTTCTCAGAGACTTGGGCAGTTGATAGAAAAGAGACGTAAGCTTAAGAAACTCTTCCTTTTCTCTATCGGAGCAGAGGATGAGGGACGCGGTGTTGGCGGCGAGCGTCCGTCTCGAGCTCTATCAGGACTACAAGAACAAGGTGCAAAGGGCTGGCCAACCTCTCTGTCATCCCAGTCATGCGACGAAACTCACTATCGACGACGGCAACGCGGACGCAGTTTTGGCCGAGCTCTAGCAAGGAGTTTCATGTCATAGGCTTTGTACTCCGTGCAGTGACCGAAGGGGTTGTTTCTTGGGATACCTTGCCATGTCCGAGACCGCAGATAGTAGGATAAAACGTCGACGGAATGATGTTCCGGGGTGTTATCTGGCCTAGGCTCTGTCTAAATCGGACTATTCTAACCTGGTAACTTGGGTGGTTTAGAAGTAAAGAAAGTTGTCTACCAACCGTGCCGTGAGAGTGGAAGACTTCTCCAGTCGTCCCTCCAGTCTCCCGTCCTCCATGGGGACCACAGCTCATTCCACTGATCTTCACACCTGGAGGCTGCAAGATTCAACCTCTCCCGCAGCGCTTCCCTCTTCTTTTCCCCTCTCTCTTCGACAACCACCTCATCCCCACCACTGGACCCTGCGTCATATCTTCTACAGATCCAGCTACGCCCAACCCACTCCGTAAGCTTTTTAAAGTCCGCGTTAGGCGCTAGAGGCCTAGGGAGGTAGTGGGTAAGAACATCGACTCCGAGCGAGAGCCTTTCCAACGGGCCAGCGGCAGTTTTCGAAATGGTGTCGAATATGGATATAGCAAGATTTGCGTCTACGGCATTGTTGACGAGGAGGCTTAGGACCGCGTCATACTCATCACCGTAGAATGAGCTATTATCGGCGCTGGCCTCAGTGCTAACTGGTTCTAGCTCGTCACCCCCTGGCTCCCCGCTCTGGGGTATGCATTCGAACAGAAGCGAGACCCGCTTCAGTCGGGGCAACCGCCCTCGGGAGCGGTAGATGGCCACTTCTTCCGGACCGCCCTCGCACCGGCGGATAACCAGTTTACTCGTTCGAGGTTTTGGCACCGTTGCTCGATTTCGCGGATTCGGTGGTGCGAGAGGACGAGACCGGCATGCGGACGCATCAGGAGTTGGCGCAGCGTCGGTCCGTGGCGAAGCAGCACGGCCTTAAAGGTGTGCTGGCGGAAACAGGAGATGGGGGTGAGATCCTCGAGGGGCGGCAGGGCCAGTAAAAATTGACTAGCCTCCTTGTCCAGGTCGTCGCTGAAGTAGTCATTTTCGTCACGCGAGGTTACGCCCAAGCTCAGGTTTTCGAAGGGCTTTGAATTGGTTTCTGCCAGCCATGGCCGTCAGACATTTGAATGTCACGGTAAATTCCGGTGTGAGAAGCTCGAGACGCCGGATGGGTGAAGTCGGTACGATTGCTCCAGTCCTCGATTTTCCGAGGCGAGATAGGGTCGCGGGCCAGAACGAGAGTATGCGGGTGACCGGCGGCGGTTGTTGACGATGGTGGCGGTGCTGCCTCAGCCGTGGGGTCCTCCTCTGGTGGTCTCTCAAGGAAGAATCCCCTCCAGGGCGGTCTAGGGGTCAACGTCGCGTTATAAAGCCCGGCCGACCGTGTAGGGGTGATTTTCCGCATGCGCACCCATCTCAGTGAGGGCGCGCATCCGGATACCATTTCAGCCACAGCTTCGGCGTTATAGTTGACGTGTCCCTGAGGGGGCCATATATCCAGCACTTGACATCAATGCTGTACAGGCACGGTGAGGTGGCAAGGGCAAAATCGTCGGCATCGATGACATGGAACCGGTTCTTCTCCTGGTAGAGACTTCTCAGGCTGAAGGTCGGTACATGCAAACGGCACCGCGGGTGGTGCGTATGCAGAGCCGTGAGGACAGACGCACATGGGCATCTGGTTGGTGCAGGCAAAAACAAAGTCCTTGAGGGCGGGTAGCTGGCCGATGAATTGCGCAAACGGCTGCTAGGCCTCGTTTGGTCCTCTTCGTCGCTGTCTGAGTAATAGTGGTCTCTGTCCGTGTGGAAGTAGTCGTTTTCTCCGTCCTCCGTTGCGCGCTCTACCATCTGGCCATTGGTCCAAGTTGAGTCTTCAGGCTGGCCATCATCCCGCATGAAACCTTCTGTCGTAAGATGGCGCACATATCGGAACCGGTTGTCGACGCCAAGAATACGGGTCCACTGCTGCAGGTCGTCGCGCAGAATCTCGCTGTCGCGTATCGTGAGCCGGATGCGCCCGAATCGCCACGGCGTTGATGCCTTGCAGCAAGATCTGCTGGCCTGCGAAAATGCAAATAGACTGCGTCGCTCACGACCGCAAGAGGAAACATAACCGCAGATGTCTTGAAGGATGTCGAGCGGAAGTCCCTCCAGAGTCGCAGAAGTCGCCATCGAAGGAGTGGGGTTGGAAAGGGGTAATTATTGGTAAACCAATGCCTCTAAAAGGATTATGATTTTTGACGTGGAAAGGCTGCAGGAGCAGTAATAGAAGCTGGGCACTATGAAAACAGAGTGTATATTGAGGCCGCTTGGCTAAAAGGGCTCTTAAATTGGCGAAAATGAAGAAAACGGGCCAAGCCGCAATACCCGCAGGCAGCCGCGAGCCATTTCGAGGTAATAAACACCAGTATTAAACGGCAACGTGAATTTCGTGCAATTAAATCGGCGTCTGCTTGTATACGCCACGCGGGTGTAGCCGAGCCGACATCAACTTTCTCGCCTAACACTAGCCCTATGCCGTGCCGCATCTTCATCGACTATAGTTAAAACATGATCTGCAAGTAGAGTAGCGTGGTTGAGCTCAAGTAGGCCCGTACCAGGTCCTAATTAGCTACTTCAGTGAGGTCGGCGGTATCGTAGAAGCACGGACATATACAATTACGTCCCCAAATTGCGTTATCAACCGCCGACGCGGCAGAGAGTGCACCGGATCGACAGCGAGTGACTCCAGTCGAACGGTCGGTCTACTCTCGTCGCTACTGTGGTTGGAAGCGCTGGTATTACGCTTGTAGCATCACGAGTTCTGCTAGATGGTGAGAATCCGGAATATTCCCCCTCGCCATCGAGGTCAACCCATCGAAAACCTCTACCATTCACACCAACTGGCAGGTTTTCGGTGCTGATAGGTGTCCTCGCCCCCGGGAAACTGCGAGTACTCGAACTTAAACCCGCGGGGAGGAAGTCTCTTTCGAACTAGAGCCCCTGTCCGATGAGTTGCGCCAATACCCGATGAACTCTATCGACGTAAGGTACGAAACCCTTGTAAGCGAGATCAACTGAAGATACCAGGTAACCAGTGACATGGTTAGGTGTTGCTCCATGTCTTCTTCTCACAGATATTTTTATCGCTCCTCGTACTCCGTAATTACCCTGTTGACCTCAAATTCTCGAGGATGGGTCTTGTCTCGGTAACCATCGATACCGACGCCGTGGAAACTCGGTGGCGTATATGTCCTAAACCTGTGGCGCAATTTGCCACTGCATATTGGCCCAAACGGGATCAACCCAATCGCACTAATTGAGAGAAAAGAGAAACTTGAAACAGGAGAGAGTGAACACACCTGCTTCTGTCCAAACATGCGATTGCTATTTCGGGCTGTGCACGGGCCGCAGAGGCAACTTCGAAACAGGTCCCTGATCACACCCATGCTCCCGATGAACCTGTTAGCCTAAAGGGGCCAAAGATCGTCGCACATCAACGGAGCTCTTCAATAGCCGTTGCGTCCCCCCGTGGCTCCGGCTGCGACTGTGACCGGTTCTTCGACGGACTAGTGTTTCAATTAAGATATTAGTGAGGCATGGCCGCCGTGCTTTTTCTAAAAGCCTCACTCCTGGCACCGAGTCGCTCGAGGTTAAAGTCCTCCTGCTGCCGCTTTTCTCCAGGTGCAAGGCCTATCGATCCCTATTACAGCACTTAACAAACTAGCCCTCAGTTTCTTTCTTATGAGGAATGCTGTCCGGTCTTTCCACCAGGCCACGAAGCTATTTCACCCGATTGCTAATAGGGTTTCCTATCGAAGCAACAAGCCAGCTTGTATGGAAGGTTTTGTTTTCCCAATGGGGTTGCAGCGACGCAGAACGACATTTGGTCCTGCCGTTCGGGCAGTTGAAGATGAGATTGGCGATGGTCAAGGAGACGAAGGAGTAGCAGGCGATGAAGGCAGTCGAGAGAACAATAATGGCAACGGAAATGGCAATGGCAATAACGGAAATGGGAAGGGAAACAATGGGAATGGAAATGGTAACAAGGGAAACGGGAATGGGAATAATGGAAATGGGAACGGGAATAACGGAAATGGGAATGGACGTGGGCAGAGCTCACCAGAACCACTGCCTAGCAGTGCAGCTACTCCTCCAGTACCGCCTCCTCCACCTGCTCTGACAACTACGATAATCGACACTGGGCTCGAGACCACAGAGTCGACTTCGCCTACGATAGACCTACAAACCCCTACAGAAGCCGATGTAATCGCTCTTACGACAAGTGAGGCCGCCCCATCGACTAGCTTTCCACCAGCACCGACAAGCCAGGATAGTTCACCACCGATCCCCTCTATTCCGAGCCCTAAGAGCTCTACTTCAGAACTACTGAGTACAATACTTAGCATTTCTACTCCTCCTCCTCCTCCTTCTTCTTCTTCTTCTTCTTCACTTTGGACGGGAATGTCGCCAGTATTGATGAGTACTGCGACACCTCGACGCACAGGGGCCGTCTCAGAGATGGTAGCGGGCAGTACCAAACTCTCCGCGGGCCAGGCGGCGGGGATTTCATTAGGCGCTATTGGTAAGGTTTCCTACGTTGGGACCAATCAATTCATAACTAACCTAGCCACAGCCGGCTGCATTTTCATGCTTGGAGTTACTTATTTTCTCGTTCGAAGGAGACGAATCGGACGAAGAACCAATGGCACTGAGGCTACGGCCGCTACCATGTGGCCATTCCCGGCCCCAAACTTCGGAGCACTCATAAAGGTTAATGTCTTCCGCCGGGGTCAGAAACAGACTGATCGGATAGACGATTCGCTGCTCGAAGCCGCTACTATTGCACCCGGTGCACCGTCCGCGGATGACAATACCACCTCCCGGTTTCCGACTGAGAAGCCGCAACCACCAGACGCGACGCTCAAACCATCCCATCGTTCGCGCTGGCTGAGTCCATTGGCTATGAATCCTGTTGCCTCAGGAGAACTAGGCCGCGCGCCGCGCAGAATTGTCTCCAGATTCTCAAGAATACCTTCCCTGTTTTCTAAACGATCCTCAGCTGCCATGGCTTCGGAAATCGGTGGCTTCACCCCTCTAGCATCCCCATTTACCCTTGAATCCAGGTCGTCCATTGTGGACCACAGGGACAGCGCTTTTGTCATTGTCACGCCACTCCGCCATCCTAGGGCACAGGAGCCATGATCCCGCAGGGGAATGAATGATAATCCAGGGACCTTGGCAGAATCATGATTCGAGAGTGTCACGTATGATGAAACCGCCCGCGAATTTAGCTTCTCTACTATTTTCGGGCTCCTCGGTACCTCCTAGCCCTAGCAGCACGGCGCTACAGTGCAAGCCTTCTCTTTATCCAAGAGAATCAAATCGCGTCCCTGCCGAAATCCGCACGCGTTAGCGCACGCGTTAGCTCTGCTTGTCGGGCTTTGTCCTAGGTAACCTTCGAGCATGTGAGAAACAAGATTAGTATATATTCTAGATTATTTAGTGCGGCACTAAACTGACCGCTTTATGAAAGTTGTACGAAGTATAGGTTGGGTAACCAAGATGGCAGTGAATTATTCGTGTCTGCATTTACTGGCCGTCTCGGCATGGTTTAACATATACGGATGCTTGCGATAAGAGATATGCCAGGGACGCTGTTGGTCGCATCATATTTCGGACCCATTAAAGTGGTGGAGCATTTCCCTCAGGAAGCACTCATAAACATAGACGTAAAGAATAGTCGACATGGAAGATCGACCTTTTCCTGGACATCCTGGACAGGCCATGCAGCCGTGCTCCACATATCGACGATTACCCTAAAGGAGAAGGATTTTTCTAGGCACCCCTAGTTTTCGAACAGCCGACTTGCTCGAATCCTGGCGGTGGACGAGAAAAGCCCCTCTCGCATTAACAACCCGTCCGCCCCTGGCAACAGCCCGCAGGCAAATTGGGGGTATAAGGTCAAGCTTAGTATGCTTTTTTTCCCCTGGAGTCAGGGCTAGTCTTTCTTCGTTTTAAGGGCCCTGATAAAGACGAACTGGGACCATTGTGATAAGTAATAGTAACGATGACATCCGGATTCGGGATCTCATGGAACCAAGGACCAAAACTGCCTCTGCTTCGTTGTCTTAGACTAGAGACTTGATAGTTCGGCCACTCTGATCTGTCAGAAAAAAGAAAAGTTGATCCAAGAATAAACAAAGGAACAGGATTGATTACCACGCGGATTATCAGCCGGTCAGGTAAATCGCTCATGGAAGCAAGCGTGGTTGACAGCCTTTAGGCAAACTATCCGTCAAACTCGAACCTCAAGATTGTTACAGTCCCATCTGCGTCTCCAAGAGCAACCGTGCGGTCATCTGTAGCCCTACATCCCATCCTGTAATCCCTCGGGACCCAAAAAGTACGCTTCCCTTGACGGAATATCCATTCGCCGCTGATTATCAGCTTGTTCTTAACCTCATCTTTTGCAAGGAATGGGCTGGATACCATGTAATCACTATTTGGTACCATATTCAGGAGGTTAAAGGGTGTGTTAAGTGAAATTTCAAGCCTATCGACCAGGTGTCTCTGTTTCTCCACGTCGAATCTTACTATCTTGTATACGAAGCGGGGGAAAAGTCTGGAAACCTGGAGGACAAGCCTTGTCCCTGTTGGCGAAAATGAGATTTCTCGGATATTGGAGTTCATAGGCCCAATTGTGCCCATGTGTCTGGGCTGGGCATCCCCAGTATGCCAGAGTTCGACCGTTGACGAATGACTCCTTGTTAAGACGAGCAACCTCCCATCAGGCGAAAGCGCTAATGTGTCGTGGCCGTCCGTACGGATGGTGTGCTTTGGCCGGCCAGTGGCAACATCCCAGAGCCTGGCACGCCCGTCCAAGCATGCCCCGAGCGTGGCTTCATCGGCTGAGAATACCATGTGGTGGACTCTGGTGCTCTCGTCTCGGATATTCTTCTGGTGGTGAGGATTGGAATCAGTGTCCCATAGATTAATCGTGCACTGATTTCCACTACATGAGGCCAAGGCAATTGTCTTGCCCGCTGGTGAAATAGTGATAGCATCAACCACCCCGTCCATGGCAGTGAGCTTCACCAGGAGCCTACCGCTATCGCAGTCCCAGGCGCAACTAGCGCTACTAGAGCAGCAAATAACAGTTCTGCTATCCGGAGAGAAAACAAGCGAGTGCATTAAGCCCGCTTGGTCGTTTAAAGTTTGCAGAAGAACTCCCATGTGGGGATCCCAAAGCCGAACCGTCAAGTCACACGAGGCTGATGCGAATCTCTTGCCATTGGGAGAGAATGCAACCAGATTAACCCAAGATCTGTGGCCTTCGAGCGTGCGAACATAGGCTCCTGTAACGGCGTTCCATAGGTGGATCGTATTTTGGTCTGTCGTGGCGAGTACCATGCTGTCCGGTGAAAAGCTTAAGGCTTGCAAACTTGAGTCACCCCCCCAAATCCAACAACGGCGACACATCGTACTCGAGTCCGTAAGGAGAATGTATCCCCTCTGCGGAATCGCTAGCGATATCCCATCGGGGGAGAAAGTAATGTTTTGGAATTCCGCTTCGTATATGTCGATCAGACCTTTCATCTTACCACTTCCCGCATCGTAAAACAATGCGGCATTCCCATTTGCCGTGATTAAAGTACTTCCATCGGGTGAGAAAATGGTACAGCGATCTGTTGGGAAAGCCTTGCTTCGATCTTGGGCCTTGAAAAATAAACTTGTGAAGCGGAAGACGCCCGTCGTGCCATCCCAGACACGCATTCCCATCTGCGATGCACATGCCAGAGCTTGGCCGTCCCCTGAGAAGGCAAGGCCACATTCGGCCCATCTGCTGTCGCGGTCTGGTGATTGGCCTGGCTCTCCAGCATTTGTGCCGATATAACTACCGCTAACACAGCTCGCCGATTGCTTCTCTTCTCCTGTCATCATATCCCAGAGACGGGCGACGCCTGACGAAGAGGAGGCAAGGTATCTACTATCGGGCGAGAAAGCTACTGCGTCCACCGGGCTTCCATGCCCCGTAAGCACGCGGCGCTCGCTACCCGTCTCGGCGTTCCATAGTTGAACGGTCTCCCTTGAGCCCGCTGCAATAGTTGTACCATCTGGCGAAAGGGCTACGCACTTGACATTGCCCCTAGCGGGTCCATGGGAGAGTTGGTTGATCTCTCTCCATCTCTCCGGAATAGTCCAAAGTCTAATTCCGTTTCCTTTGGAAGGGGATACGATCGTGCGTCCATTCGGTCCACTGGCCAGCCGGCCGGTGATGCCTTCCGCGCTCCCAATCACAAACCCTTTCCTAGGCTTTACACTATCCCAGATGCGTATTTTTTCGTCGACGCAGGATCCGATTATAGTTTCACCATCTGTTGGGACTATAATGTCCGATATCTCCCCGATTTCAGCAAGGTTAATTTCCCGATCAACCCCGCCAGTTTTGATGTTTAAAACGTGAATGTTGTTCCTGACATGGGCCCAGACCTTGTTTGATCGGATGACGAGCGATCCAACCTCTGCAGACTTAGGGGTCCCGACACTCCAATCCATTGTGTCGCCTGGGATGTTCCACAAACTGATTGAGTTGTGGGAGCTGAAGGCTAGCATATTGCTCTCCAGGTCAAAGGCAAAATATCCAAGCCAGCGGACATCGGTTATTGTGGATTTGCGGCTGCGCTGAGCAACGTCCCAAACCTGAATATGACCAACGATGGCCCCTTCTTTGTGTTCTCGAGTAGCGATGGTAAGCATCTTGCTGCTGGGTGAGAGCGATCTACGGCCTTTCGGAAGCGTGGGCCAGGCGATGTTTTGGGGTGTTCCAGTTGTGACATCCCAGCTAAAAACGCTGGTGCGAGTGACGCACATGAGCGTTGCACCGTCGGAAGAAAACGCAATGTCATGTGCAACAGAGTCTATGTCGAGTAACAGTCGGTATGTGCCCAGATCTACGTCCCAAAGCCGTATCGTGAGGTCGACTGACGCAGATGCCAGGCATTTTCCATCAGGGGCAAAGGAGACATGAGTAACCCGATCCGTATGGCCCTCAAGCGTACTAGAATATACTTGTTTGATACCCTGAGCGATTTTGAGATATGGCCACCTGTCTTTCCAAAAGTGAGACCGAACACGACTCGATTGCGGGAGGAATGTCAGCGCTGAGGCGTATACTTGCAGTGGCGCTCGCCGGATGACTGCCGCATGGATTTTGGCGAACTGAAGTGCATCTTCCACAAGCCGGCATATATCATGGTTTGTGCCAAGTTCCGGCGTTGACTAAAACGGTATTAGAAAGAAAAACAGTCTGCATCTCATGCGTTTTCGTTTTCAATACACTAGTTGTGCACTTACCCGGCACTTATCCAACAGGTGTTCCAGAAGCTCCAGGCAATCTCTATACTTGCCTAGGATAGCGAGACACTCTATCCAGTGCAATAGGTGCGTGTACACGAACTCGCGAACCTCTGCTACATCCAGAATCGTCTCATGATGAAGCCAAAAACAGCAGGCGTATCGGAGATGCTGCGGAATATGATTTTCTACGGCCTCGTCTGCTATTTCATGCCTTAGAATGCCGGGCTCCTTGGTATTGCAAATGTCTTGCTTCAGTAAGCTGCGCATGACCCTCAAGCAATCTTGCGCGAGCCACCTATTGGCCTCGCGCTCATCCACATGGAAGAACTCCCTGCCTTTCCCCTCTGCCACGAGAAAGTCTCGGAAAGACTGATGGAAGAGACGTACAGGCATATCTGGGTCTTCTGGGAGATGTACAACTGCATGGAGATTGCGAAGGTAGTGATCGGTATCATCCAGCGGGATCTCTAGTAGATCGCTAATGGCCTGAGGTGTGAGGGGAGTGCCGAGGACGACTAGGGCACTAAGAAGCTGTCGGAGTTGAAGTTGCTCTTCTTCGTTAAGCGGGTCGGGCTCGTCAGTGTCCTTGTGCCTCCCAAAGAAAACATAATCTAGGATTGGCATGTAGATCTGATCAAGCTGTGAAGCATTATTATCCACCTGTCTCAGCCAATCATGCAGTAGACGCTTTGGATTTTTCCTTCCGTCTCCTTTATAGATGTAACGGCAGAGAGTTGCAGCGTAGATGAATAATGGTGATGGAGTATTGGCGAGCTCAATCACACGCTCGAGGTCGCTTGCGCTAGGCCATGTCTCGCGGATATTTTTCTTGCGTGCAATGCGCTCAAATTGGGCTTCGAAAAACCTAGAGATATCGACTTCTGTTTGCTCTTGAAACTTTTTATGTAGAGGCAAAGCGCGCCAGGCTCGCTGTGGGATATCTTGGTTTATGGCGGCGTCGACTTCGTGAGCCTCTCTGCTTGTGAGCACAACACGGAATCGCACCCTGTCAATGGAGCCTAAAGTTGCCAATGCTTTCAGTAGTCCTTGGTGGACACTGGGATCTCCCTCGCACTCGTCTAGCGCGTCGATAACAATGACGATGAGCATAGGCCTTGACGAGGTGGTTGTTGAATTGGCTTTGATAGCCCCTCTGGTCGGGGTCAAGAGAAGAGCTTCAGACTGCTTTTTTATGTTTTTGCTCTCAATACCTTCATTCCGGGGGTCATCTAGGGATTCTCGCAGAGCCTTTCCGAATCCCGGAACAGTGGCAGCAAGCTGTGTTGCAAGAGTCGGGATGATACGGAGGGGGTCGCTGCGGGCATCTTCCCCTCGCCGGAAGAAATAGCTTGCCCCCAACACACCCATTCCGTCACACATATGAGCGACGGTTCGGCTGACAGTAGATTTCCCAATTCCAGCGGGACCGTTGATCCACAAAATCGTTTCTTCGTGGGATCCGTATATCCAGCCTGTGACCTCTTTTAATAACTCTACCCGGGTGCCATCCTGGCAAAAGGAAAGGTGTTGATCATCTCCGCTGTCGTATGCTGCTGCATGAACATTTGGAAGCCTCACGGCTGGTTGGTCTGTGTTGCGAATCTTACTATTTCCTTCAGCATTAGAGATAGAGGTCTTGAAGCTCAATTGGACATAAACTTACTCAAGCTCACGGACAAGCTGGAGTCTGAGGTCAGTGATGGAGTCACACCCCCCTCGCATGATCTCATATAACCCGCGAATGTCCTCAATCCGCATCTCTCTCCCTGCCCTCTGGCTTAGGTTTTCGACGAACTCGGATGCTGTATCTTCCGTAGTAGTTTGCAGCGGTGGGTTGGGGACTGGTGCCGAAGCGTTTGACTCATGGAGCCCAATTTCCTTCATCAATGGTTGCCCTAGCTCAGCCTCTACCTTGCTTTTGCTAAGCCTCTTTCCCTCCTTGTCTTTGAAGTAAACCAGACAGAGTGCATATGATCGCGCTAACCCACGGGATATGTCTATGACAATCCTGTCTTCGACACCCAGATCCGAGGCTATCCCTTTATATAAAAAGGGATGTGCTAGCTGGTTATGTAGATAGTTCACAATATCAGTTAGCTGAACCTCGAATAACACCCCCGAGAAGCTCGAAAGCACCTTGGTGTCTTCGCTTCTAAGTTTGAAACGATAGTTGACTGCCTCGTAACTTCCGAATCGTGGTTCGTATGAAGGTTTAGGAGCGTTCTTGTTGGGGAACTGTGTCTCATCCTGGAATTCGAACCGCCTTCGGATGAGTTCTTTGACAGCTTCTTCATCTGTGTCAAATCTGAGCACAATTCGAACACCAGCGAGGTCATGAACTGCACGGAATATATCCTCGACAGATTCGTATCCACGCCCTCCCCGGCCGAGCTGCGTTTTTTCACGGCGCTCAATGGATTTCTCAATGGATCCTGCTTTCTTCACCCTTCCTGAAATCCAGAACTCAATCCTTTGTCTTTCCAGCTCCTCGCGACATATTTTTTGGACTTCTCCAACAAGGTCTTCATAACAAGGCGCTAGCTTAGGCCAGACCGTCTCAACGAAAAAACCCTTGAGATCCCCATGTTCAGCACTCGTGTAACGAATGCTAGCGATTCTTGATTGCAAAGAGATGTTGCTAGTGTCCAAAGTAGGGCTCGCGCCAAGGCATTCTGCGGATGACGGTTCCATGTCTCTCGTTTTTGGTGTCGACCATAAGGGACATTACGGCGGGAAGATGAAGGCAAGTCGTTCAAAAGAATTAAGGCAAAATTTAACAAAGGGAAGGAAGAGATTAGAAGAGCAAGGAGATGAGGAGCTGGAGAAGGGAGATACCCCGCTTCTTCACTTTGACCATCGACCGCTGTCTGTTGTGTGGCGTGAAGATGCATATATATTGGCGAATAGTAACCTCAAGTTAGTCCGTGGCTTGCAGGGCTGGGTGGATTGTATGCCTGATCTCCGAGAAAAGTGGAAAAAAGGCACATCAGGCTCGGCTTGGGAGTTGAAGCTCTCACTTATAATTGAGCCCAACCCATCTCCTTCATTACGCTCCCTTCCTCGCTCTTTGTGTGTTTGCTTAAAGCCTCCTTGATCTTTACCCTTCTCTACTTACGCTTTCTCAGATCCCCCTGGCGCTTTGCCAACGACCCGATGGGGGATGGAAGCCGAAGCCTGTCCTACCGCGATTTGGTGGCGATGCAATGTCGAAATAATCCATGTCTTGTCGGGCTATCAAAATATCTCTCATCCAAGACATTGCTCTCCAGAAGCACGATCTTCTCCATAATCTATCCTAGAGACGGAGGATACGCAGCGAAGCCGGTGGGACAGCTGAATTTGGAGGATATTAACGGACCTCAATATATCGACCCCACAATAGCTGGCCACATTCTTCTCGTCCAGGATATCGAGCCCGATGTCATAGATGCTCTAGGATGTATATTCGATATCGATCCGCTATTCTTCGCAAGCCATATAAGCACTGATTTCGGCGGAATCGAAAAAGCGCCGCCTCCCCCATCCTTAGCGCTGCCACCGTCATTGCTCGCAGAAAGGGGATACGTCAATATTCACTACCAACGAGTCCTCGATCTTGGGGATGCAAATCTTTATAAAACATCCGCATATACGCTAAATACACCGTCGAACATTCCTCGTAATGTACGTCGGCTTCCACCCATCGGAGGATGTCAGCTAGGTCTAGCTCGAGGGTGCTGCTCTATTCTTGCCAAAAATCTTGGAAGTACTTGGATTTGTACGTATTTCCTATCTATAAGGGAAATCTTTTCCATCACCTAGACTAACCAAACGCAGGTATCATCCTGGTAGACCCGCCTTTAAACTGTGTAGCTGAAAGACAGGGCTCCGGCTGCCCAGGAAGATGGTTTAAAGCCAAACCTCTGCATGATGGGTTTGAGGACTTTTCACAGCCTCTATCATTCTCCTCTTCTAGAACCAGCCTTACAAACCACGAGCCCTGGGATCACAATTCAATGCTTTGTGCCCTATCACATTATTTTGCTAGTAACGCCCCACGTTCCTCGACGTCATGCCCGAGTACCTTGGAGATGGGATATTACCCTATCAGGATAGTTATAGCGGAGTGGGTGATGTACACGCACCTCTTGAGCCGCTACATCAAACACTACGAATACTCTGTGCGAAATATCCAAGAGAGGCTTCACGACGAGGACATGATCGACTTGCAGCGCTGGCGCCGCCGCAGCAAGCAGAGTAGCCACAAACTCACTCTCCTATCCGAGTATGTCAAGTACTGGATAGAGCATGAAGATGACCAAAAGAGATGGGAGATGGTCCTGAAGGATATCGACTTCATTTGCGCACAGCTTGATCACCAGAGCCGCTCTCTCGAGCAAATGGTGCCCATAGCAATGTCGATGGTTCAATTGAAGGATGCTTCTAATATCCAGCAAATGACCTATATCGCACTCGTTTTCGTGCCACTCTCGTGGGTTGCCAGCGTGTTTAGCATGTCAGAAGGCTACGGCCCTGGCGAAAATCTGTTCTGGGTCTACTTTGTGGTGGCGGCACCAATTGTCTTGGTCGTTTTGATTCTTGCCTGGCAGTGGCAAGCACTGAGAACAATTATTCGGTGTTTGCGATATAATAAGCTACCTCAATAATGATCCCACACCACGATTGGCTCTCCGGAGTTCCGGAGCTTGGACACTATCAATACTAATAGACTTGACCTAGAGTTTCACATCTCCCGAAGTGAAGAGAATTGTTGTGTGCCGAATATCCAGGCATGGTTACGACGGTTACCAGTAAGGACTTATGATAATTGTAGCAGGGCAAGCATGATTGCCCCGGCCAACCACCTCGTCGAATCTGGGGGGGCAAAGAGTAAATCTTTCCAATGCGTCCCAGTGTGCTGGGCAGTACAGCGGACAGGCGGCCGCAGTGGCGGTGCCAAGCAGCCATGGAATCGATCGCGGAGCCAATGGAATGAAGTTTGCATTTGAAGCCTTCATGTAACTATCTCATGTAGAAGGAAAGCCCAATCGATAAATCAGTTGGTGTTGAACACGGATATCGCCAGCAAGCTACTAAGTAATTTTCCCTTCAGACCTTAGTATCTACCGGAACCGAGGCGCTGACGCCCTTCTCCTGTGCCCGATCCTGTTCCTCAACTATCACGTCGGCAGGAATTCGATCGGGTGTCGAGTTGACCAAAACGATCATCGGGCCAAGAGCAGCCGCCAAAAGGCCGAATGTCACGCAGCTGGAATGGATGGCATGTCAGTGTTGATAATAATGCGAAACAAAGCCTTGAGAGTACGTACAATCCAACTAGAGGGCTTCCCTTGGTCTTTGTGTTCATACCGTACGCAACGGCTTGACCAACAGCTTCTATGCAACTGGGGGTTATCATGAGTTAGCTACACCATCTTGCTTTCTAATTAGTGGAGGCTATCATGAATAGACATACCGGAATGCAGCACCGTTGCGAACGTTCGCTAGAAGCATGGATTAGCTACCTAGATCGACGGCGTGAGGTTTCAGGACTGTGTACTACTCACCTTGCGCATCTGTCGCAAAAGACGACAGCAGCCAGTACATGTATGACTGCGACATAGGCCCAGTCGTCTGGACGAAGAAGTAGGGGAGGAATGCAGAGGGGTAGAGCTTCTCGTCCCAGTCGATGGCGCCTGGATCAGAGGCGTTGAACCGTACCTGCATGATGATTGACCATATGTATACGCCGACGTTGAGGATGACGACGGTGAAGAGGCCGATTTGGGCTCGTCGACGTTGGCTGACGCCCTTCATATCGAGGATGAATCCGAGGCCGAAACAACCGACGCTAGGCTCTGTTTCAATATGCTGAAAAAAAAGTGACACGTCTTGCGTTGGGGCGCACCGAGGCCCAAGTAATGGGGCATAGAAGAAAGAGAAAAAAAAATCACTACTTACATGCAGAAGAATGGCGAAATAAGCGAAGATAGCGCGCGAGAGCGCACAGAAAAGTACGTGCCAAGATACGTAGACCATGTGCCGCTGTATGTCGGTTAGCCTTTTTGCATCATCGTGGTTATGTTACAATGGTAGCCTCGGTGCCTATAGTGTATACTCACCCGTAGAAGAAGGACCAGAATGCCCAAATGGCTGAAAGTACGATGAGCTTGGAGGCCATGGTGCGCGAAATGCGCTTAATCTCTTGCTTTGTAGACAGGGCCTCGGCCATGAGAATTCGTGATCCGTCAGATCGAACAACTCGTTCAAGGGGAGCAATCATGAGAGCGAATGGGAACCTTGAGAGGAAAGGTTAGTCTTTGCCCGGGATTGGATCGTCTATCCACGTACGCCATGCACTCAATGATTAGGAATGCGACATAGGTATCCGCGGTGACTCCGCCCTTTACGCCCTTCTGGTAATTCTTCGACAAGCTGCAGCGAAGGAGACCCGAACGGTTAGCCACGAACTAGATGAACGGGATTACAATAAGTCACAATGCGACTGAAAACCCACTTGATCGCACCGCCCACGAGTTGGCCAAGATTTCGGGAGACAATCCAGAATGCCAAATACTTTCCGCGCTTCCTCTCGGGGGCAAGTGTCATGATGGCCCCAGACTCTGCGACATACCAGCACCCTGTGCCGATGCCATAGAAGAAGGCGCCGAAAATAAGATACTGCGCGGGACACCAATCAGTCATACTTGGTCATCACCAACTATAGAGTTGCTTAATCGGAACAGGCCTCCACTAACCCATTGGTTTCCAAATTTGCTGTTGCAATAGTAGGAAGATCCCTGGATGGGGAATGACATGGCGCCGAGAACCAGTGCCCATTTGATGCCAAGTTTATTGACGATGGGGCCGCCAAAGAAACAAACTGATGGTTGAAGTCCACGTTTAGCACCAGATTGAAGAGCGAAAGGGGACGAAAGCACATGGATACATACCAAGCGCAAGCATGCTGTACTTAATAGCGGTACTAATAGATGTGCCCTGTCAGTCCCTCTCCCTAAACGAATATACCAATTTTTTGGGGATGCACGCAGGCTTACGCGATGTTGGACGTTTGGGGAGTTGCAAGGCCACCACCACCGAGACCTAAACATCAATGTGAGTCAGTTACATATGGTTTCCAACACACGCAGTCTCATCTACGCTGGTCAAGCGCTTACCCTGAATGGCATCCGACATGGCTGGTCCGCAGAATGCCTGCATGCTCAGAAGCATCATCTGCGTGAAGCTGTGTCTCCAGACTCGTAGCCACAGTGGTACGGTGTTTCTATACGCCACCATGTCAACTGTTCCCTCGGCGACATCTGGCGCTTTGGAAGACGAGTTGATGTCTCCAACGGCCTCGTCCTCCCGAACGGAGGTGCCATCAGCGGGAGAGTCAGATTTGGCCATGTTGATGTTGAACGGTAATGATTCTAGGACGGTTAAGGTGAGTGGGAGAGATCAACTCTTGGAGTAAATGATGATTATTTATACATCAAGCATGCCGAAGATAAATGCATGCCCCAGAGAAGATAGCTGCGCTTATCTTGGGGTAATAGTGATCCGGCAAGCGGGTTCTCCTCCGCATCTCAAAGAGAAGCTAGAATCGGGATGATTCTGGGGTTGGGGTGTCTGTTTATGATTGGGTGTCACTCTGGTTTTGTGAGACGTGAAGGTCCAGCCGAGATCATATTCAAAAAGAAAAGCTGGAGATAGCCGGGTGGATCCCTGACGAGGGCTTGAAGTAACGGAGAATCGGGGGAAGTTTTCGGGTACTTTGGGGTACATGGCTCGGTACGAGGATCTGGGACTCCGCTGCACTTTTGCTATACTAAGTTTAGTCCAGATTCGCTTCCCATGCTACCTGGCCGGCATACGTGGGCCCAATTGGATGTCTCGAGACCCAGTATTAGTTTAGTGTATTCCTTATCTCGGAAATAGGCAAGCCAAAGGAAGATGAGGGCATGGAAAGAGAAGCAGCCCGTACCCAACAGGATCGGTCCCCACCCACCACGAGTCCGGACTGTCGGTCAAAATCAAATGACACTGTAGACGGAGGTAAGCGACCTATTGTCACATTCAGGAGGCAAGGTGCGATGAACTTGAAGGTTTATCAGGGATCATCCGATACCGCAAATCCCTGCAATCGTGCCACTTATGCCTGCCACTTAAGATCTCAATTCACAACATCATCCGCAGACCTCAAGAACGCATGTAGCATTTGTGGGCCCAGGTGATTCAACATCAGAACTTGACTCCATAGCTTTGTGAGTAATCGCTTCCCTTCCTTAGTTATATCTCATGACGTCCTCCCCATACTGTGCCATTTGACTTATCTCTTCCATATCAGAATCAACTTTTATCTTGAAGAATTCGAGCAAAACCACAGTCCGGACTTTGCAACATGGCACTAGATCGTAGAACCACCAAAATCATCGTCGTGGGCGGAGGCGGAACAATGGGCGCCTCGACGGCCCTCCACCTCATCAGAACTGGGTACTGTCCTCAGAACATCACGGTTCTCGACACTTATCCCATTCCCTCTGCGCAATCTGCCGGATATGATCTAAACAAGATCATGAGCGTGCGCATTCGCAATGAAGTCGATCTCCAGCTCAGCTTGGAGGCGAGATACATGTGGTATAACGATGAGCTGTTCAAGCCTTTCTTCCATAATACTGGCATGGTAAGTTAGGTTCTGCTTCAGCCTCTGGGCCTTTGGCTGATGAACTTGGCTTTTATTTAGCTGGACTGTTCAGGATCGGAACAAGGCATCGCCTCACTCCGGCAAAAATATCACTCCCTTATCAACAAGCATCCCAGTTTGAAAGAAACCAATGTATGGCTTGATAATGAAGAAGAGATATTGAAGAAGATGCCGCTTCTTCAGCACGATCAAATCAAGGCAGGTTTTTTCTCATACCACCCAAGACGTTAATACAGGACCGGGGCCAATCATCCTGACAGTATATAATTAGGGGTGGAAAGCCATATTTGCTAAGGATGGAGGTTGGCTGGCTGCGGCCAAAGCTATAAACGCCATCGGAGAGGTGTTGAAATCCCGCGGAGTCAATTTCGGATTTGGAAGGTAAAAGTTTGTGGACTGTCTTTTGTTGAGGCTTGTCACTAACGTCGTACTATAGCGCGGGATCTTTCAAGAAGCCTCTTTTCGCGGCTGACGGAACGACATGTATCGGTGTGGAAACTGAGGATGGCACGAGATATTTCGCTGATAAAGTGATCCTGGCTACTGGCGCTTGGAGTCCGGCATTGGTAGACCTTGAAGATCAGTGCTGCTCAAAGGTAAGAAAGAGTCCAGCCTAGACCCCACTATACCAACTGGGTGCTGAGAAGTGCTAACTGGTGGCCATAGGCATGGGTATTCGCCTATCTCCAACTATCACAAGAAGAAGCCGCCGAGTATAGGAATACCCCAGTAGTGTATAACGGCGAGCTAGGTTTCTTCTTCGAACCCAATGAGTAAGTTCTATCCCATGTCACTGTTGTAAATATTCCCGTGAATCTGATCACTCTATATCACTCTTCAGGCACGGCATCATCAAGGTGTGTGATGAGTTCCCCGGTTTTTCTCGATTCAAGCTCCACCAGCCCTATGGTGCAGCTGCCCCCAGGGCCGTTTCAGTTCCTCGATCACACGCCCGGCATCCGACAGACACCTACCCTGACGCGTCTGAGGTGTCGATCCGCCGGGCAGTCGCAACTTTTCTCCCTCGCTTCAAAAATAGGCAGTTGTTCAATCGCGCTATGTGCTGGTGTACCGATACTGCCGACGCAGCTCTGCTCATTTGCGAGCACCCACGATGGAAGAATTTTATCCTCGCAACCGGGGATAGTGGGTAAGTGTGACCCAAGCCGAGGTTTATTGGCAGAGACTTGGATATGGCCGCTAACCCCCCACGTATTATAGTCATACTTTTAAACTCCTCCCGAATATTGGCAAGCACGTGGTTGAGCTCATCGAAGGGACACTTGCTGAGGATCTGGCTGAGGCTTGGAGGTGGCGGCCTGGTGGTGACGCCCTGAAATCTAGACGAGCAGCTCCAGCGAAGGATCTCGCTGATATGCCGGGGTGGAGGCATGATCCTGCTTTGTAGTTAGTCGTGAGATATAGCCGATGCGAATTCCTTCTTGTTATCAGGTTTCGGGTATTCTGTGTCCACTGTCGTTGCATATACGCATACTAGTAGCCGAGTGGAGGAATAAAGACGTTGTGAATGACTGAGGTATATTCTCTATTATTTTTGCCAACAATTATAGAAACAACATTCAGAGTCTTATCTGGTTTATTACCATCTGTTTGATTAACCCCCAAGTCACAACCGATTTCTTCGATGAGTACGTCTGTTTTCTTAATAAATTCTATACAAAATGTAGAAAAAAAGACAAATGCAAATAGCCAGATGATTCTATAAGGGACTGTTGAACTTTTGGACCGATATCCCACACTATAAATTGCCCTTTGACACGGTCTCCTCATCATCCCCAAAGAATACCCTCACCGGCAGCCAATCGTCACCCGCAACCTTGAACCGATTCGGCACAGCAGACAATATGGCCATCTCATCATCTGTCAGACTCCAGCCCTCCAAATCAATGTTGGCCCGAATGCGCTGCCTCGTGACAGACTTGGGCAAGACGCTCGTTCCCCTCTGAACACCCCAATTCAACAGAACCTGCTGGGGTGTGCGCCCGTGTGACTGGGCGATGGAGCGGACGATTTCGTCGGAAGCTAGTGGCGAGTTTGAGCTTCCGAGGGGGCAGTAGGCGGTCAGGTGGATGCCTTTTCCGACGCAGTAGTCGAGGAGCTTTGGAGAGGGGTTATGAGGGTGGAGCTCGACCTGGTTGACAGCCGGGACAATCTAAAGAACCTCTGTGTTAGCCTCCATGGAGAGGGTGGAAGATGTTGAAAGGGAGACTTACCTCGAGGCCCTTCGCCGACAGCAGCCTCTCCAGATGCCCAATACCAAAATTGCTCACGCCAATATTGCGGACCTTGCCCGTTGCCACCAGCTTTTGCATCTCCATCCAAGTATCGACAAAGTCCCAGCCGTCGATAACTTTAGTCTCATCGCTAGGGTCAAGCGCAACAGGCCAGTGCATAAGGTAAAGGTCGACATAGTCTGTTCCCAAGTTCTTTAAGCTCTCGTCAATGCCGTCCGCAACACGCTTGTGCCATGCGTTGTCAAGCTTGGTAGTCAACCAAATCTCCTCGCGCGGAACGCCCGAGGCTCTCATGCCAACTCCGACCTCCTTCTCGTTGCCGTAGGCCAAGGCGGTATCGATATGGCGGTAGCCGCATCGCAGCGCAGACTCCACCGCCTCCTCGACTTCACCGGGCTTGGACTGCCAGGTGCCTAGCCCGACGGCGGGCATGCGGGCGCCGGTGTTAAGGGTGAATATTTTCCTACGTACAACTTCTGTCAGTAAACACACTTTGGCCGTTACGAGACGGGTACCGCACATTGTGGTGTGGAGGGGTGCCGGGGTTTGTTGGGAGATAGCAACGATGGTGATGATATCACGGCGCTCGTGTCAACGAGAACTTGTAAGATGTGCAGCTCTTTAGCTCGGTGGTGTCACTGGTGTGGAAATAAATCATGCGGTATCAATATTGGATAAGGACCGACGACAGATGAGTCGCCATGACTCGAATCTGCCGATATACCATCACTAAGGTCCAGCCGAACTATTTGTAAGGAAGGTCCTCCCGAACAGTTTCTGGGGAAGGTCCACGCGCAATCATGAGCTGATGGACTCCATCGTGGGGCCGGATCAAACATGTTGGCTAGACCCGACAAGCCGTTACCCCAAGATTCGTTTCTAGATATTGGAGATACGCGAGGTTAGCCGGACAAGCTATCGCATTAAGCTATGTATCTATGGAGTTAGAAGCGGTGGAAATAGTTTCTTCCAGAACCCTGCGAGTCCGACTTCAGGAATGCCCAAATGCAACGTGAAGGTCCAGCCGAGTGAAACTCTGCAGGGAGCAAAAACTAGTGGCCCGGATAAGTTTGTCCATTCGCGTCTAGCTTCTTCACTAAACCCTTGAAGGTTTAGCGGCCCCGCAGATCTTAAGGAGAAATTCCAGGCCTTCAAAGGTATCACATAGTACCTCACTGGTACTTCGACGTTGACTCCATCAATATCAACAGTATCACTACTTGTGTCGGGATTCGGTTTAAAAAATAGCGGCGTGAAAGGAAAAGGGGAGGAGAGGGGGAACATACTGGATCGAGGAAACCCCACAACCCCGGTTTCTTTCCTAATTTCCTTGATTCGACAGTTCCCGTTTCCTGCCTCGCTTCTCTCCCACCACACCCCCATGACTTGGACCCTCTCTCCCGACCGGAAAGAGGAGTAACATTTACGAAGAATTGCTGCTGCCACTTAGCTCCTCGCAAACCAGCTGGAGCTCGGGTAAGCGTAGACGAGGATGCCACGACGTAAGGTTGCCGAACGGAATCGCCCCATCAAGCGGCGGTCACGTTCCGGCTGCAAGTAGGTCTCTCCCTTTCGCACTCCACCCCCCTACCCCCGCCACTCGCTCTTCCTTCCTGCACCAGCTCCCATGATTAAGCTTGAGTTACTTACTTCTGCGCGTTGCTAAGCTCCTGCCGCACTCGGAAAGTCAAGTGCGATGAGACCCGGCCACAATGCGTGAATTGTGCAAGGCGGGGTCTCGCCTGTGACAATGGGCTCCGCCTCAAGTGGGAAGAGGAGTTTGTGGCCCACGGACGGGCTTTTGGGCGGCAGGGAGTGTGGAGCAAAGAGCATCCGCGGCGGTCGCGGCAGGCATCTTCGCCTGGTAGCGAGCTGGGCACGACTTGCCTGTATCTTCCCAAAACGATACCAACCGAGGCGCATCATTTCATCAATATCTTTGTTCGTCACCTCGAGAACAATATGGCGGATCAGAATGAGGATGACTTGGACGAGAGTACAAGCGTCGGGCGCAAGAGCTGCTCTGTCGCTGGCTCTCCGGGCTCGGACTCACAACTCACGACGTATTGCCACGACTCCATGTCCCCATCATCCGCTTACGAGTACCCTACTGCCACGTTACCGGCATCTCTCTCACCTTTTCCATGTCTCGATGACTTCAATCCTAGCCTCCTCGAGTATTACTTTTTACGTCTATGTCCCCTAACGATGTCATCTCATCTCATCACCTCCCCCTTTGTCGATTTGATACTACCACTCTTTGCAGCCGGAGGCCAAGAATTTGTCTTGCAGTCCATAATGGCCTTCTCCGCTCGGCACAGGAGCCTAACTGATTCTAGCTGGTCCCGAGTCGCTCTGTCACTTAAAGGCAGGGCTCTTTCCGCCCTTCGACAGAGGCTTGGTCTTCTTGATATAACGACCGATGCCATTGCGGACCCGCAAGTACCCGTTGCGATGATGTTCCTATGTCTCGACGAAATCCTCGATAATTGCGATCATCGCTGGGTCATACATCTCCGCGCCTGTCAGGGTTGGCTATGTCGCCGGAAACAGCTTCTTTCTTCGTGCCCTCCTTCTTCTTCACTTGGCTTGCACTCCGAGGACAGCCTGGTCATTTTTGCGGAACGCTTCTTTGCTTTTCAAGACGTCATCAGCAGAACAGCCTGTGGCAACTCTCCCCAATTCGGCCTGGAGTACTGGCAGAGTCCTACTCAGCTATCCAACGTCCAGGGTTGGATCGGATGTAGCCCGACGTTGGCGAGAATTATCTTTCAGATCACGGAGCTTGGCCGTACGAGAGGTCATAAGCAGCCGTGCTCTGATGCGTTCGAGAAGCAGGCGAGGTCTTTGGAAGAGGAGCTCAAATCACTTAGTTACAGAAGCCCCCAGGTTCAAGCAGTCCAAGAGAGCGGTAGTAGCACACTTACGGTCGACAGCGAAATAGACAGCTCGTCCGAGCTCATGCGGGAAGCGGCCAAGTTATACCATCACTGTCTGCTACATGACGCTTCACCATCCACGCCTCTAGTGGTAGAGACTGTTAGTAGAATCCTACAAAGTATACATGAGCACGTGCAGGCAGGGTGCACCTCTGGCATGGCATTTCCTCTCTTCGTCGCTGCTGTCGAACTGGACCCCCTGAGCGACGAGTTGGTGTTTAGAAGTGAAAACAACTGCCTTGTTAGGGAGCGCGTATCTGGGAGACGACTTGTGCTCGAGATATTAGAGGCATTGTCTGGATTCGCCCTCTTCAATATTGCCAAAACTCGCGCGGTTATTCGCAATATTTGGGCAATGCGGGACTTGAGTTTAGATGAAGATCGAGGGATAAGCGCCGGAGCGGAGAATGACTGGAATGTCTACGTCAGCCCATACTGCTCAAATATCAGCCTCGCCTAAAAGCCTCCCTCAGCCATCCTTTGTCTTGGCGCGTGCTGGGGGCGCGGGATAATCCCAGTTGGAGATGGGAAGACGGCCACCAAGAACGCACCGTGGCATAAATATTGGAATCCCGGACAATGGTTAACTCACGGCACAATGGCGGCCTAGACTCGGACGGTATTGCAAGGGTATTGGACAACGTTTATTATGATGGCCAATAAATGACACTTAGAATCAACTCTCCGGTCGTGAGATGGCGGTCCTCAAGTTCAGGGTTACGTCAGTGTCCGGCCTAAGCTAGGTAAATCTAATATTGTTCAGGAGAAGAAGGGGAGGGCAAGAAAGGGGTTGGCGGGCAAGCGGCGACAGACGTCTTCACTATGGACAATCGTCTAATATATACCGATTAGTTTCAGAGGTCTTCCGTTAACGGCATGGGTATGAAAGCTGATAAAAGCCAAGATCAGAGTGGCCGAACTATCAAGTCTCCAGCCTAAGGCAAGGCAGCAGAAGCGGTCTTAGCCCTTGGTTCTATGAGATCCCAAATTCAGATGCCATCACTATTGCTACTACTCTTATCGCCATAGTCCCAGTTCGCCTTTACCAAGGCCCTTCAGACTAGGAAAGAGCAGCCCTAACATCAGAAACAAACCAAAAAAAAAAAAAAAAAAAAAAAAAAAAAAGAAAGAAAGAAAAAACACACTAGACTGAACCTTATACCCCTCAATTTGCCTGTGGACTGTTGCCAGGGGCGGCCGGGTTGTTAATGCGAGAGGGGCTTTTCTAGTCCACCGCCAGGGTTCGAGCAAGTCGGCTGTCCGAAAACTGGGGGTACCTAGAAAAATCCTTCTCCTTCAGGCCGCCGAGAGCCATGAGCGCTCCGGCGGCGTCTTTTGAGCAATATAACTTGGCAGTGGCATTGACCCGATCGTGCAAGTTGTCTCGATGCCGTTAAGAAGTTGATCCTTTAAGAGGTCGATGGGTGTTGAGAACACGTGAACGTTGAATGCATGTTTCCCAGTGGGTCGGATCCGGGGAGGGGTACATTACTTAAAACAAAAGGCACCCAACCAACCGCCGCCTTCGAAGTTCGAACGCGATAAGCTCGACCTTTCCCTTTCCCAACTCCTCTGACTTCCTAATGGAAGCGTCTCCATCCGGTTCTATTAAGGAATTGCCTAATTACCACTCTCGCGATGTCATCTTCACAGGCAATGTCGGCCGAGAAGCCGATGAAGCAAGACGACATGAAACGAGGTTTGTCCCGACAGTTCTCAGTAAACTTTCACCATGCCTCTGATTACGCCGCGCCTTGAGCGTTATTCGCGTTCCTGACATCACGAGTCCGATAGCGCTGGCCCTTCTGGATGAGCAGATTGGCGAGAGCGATCTGCTGATGAGCGTTGCGCCCATTCGATTGATCTCCATCGGGGGTTCCCTCGCTGTCTGTGTGCTGGGCAACCGTGAATCCTCCTACGACATCGACTGCGTTCTGGATCCCAATATTGCGGCAGCTGCCGAGTACGCAGACGAGTTCAAGAGAGCAGTAGAAAAAGTCGCAACAAAGGGCGACCTTGCGAATCTCTGGCTGAACCGCCAGCTGGAGACGTTCATCTCGCGCACCAAGCGCGCCAATCTTTTCATGGAGTCAGTTCAGCAAGGGATTCCCATCTATTCGGGCACTAATCTTACTATTTACGCCGGGCGATTGGACTGGGCTTTGGAACGAAAGTTACGGCGAGTTGCGCATGCCAAGGACCGCCGTAAACAGAAGGATGTCGATATCCCTGATGCTGCGGCCCTGATCCGTCGCATGGTAAGCGATTCGGGCCGGCCGTTAACTTTCGAGTATACCTCTAGCCTCAACTACAACGGCTTTGATGTGCCTCCGACAAAAGGAGCTCTACAAGAGGTCGCTCAGTACTATGCTGGTGTGTACGGGGATGTCGGTCTTGTCGAGTTAGTGTGGGATGATGATCACCAGAAGAACAAATACAGGGGCCTTGATGACCAGTGGGTATGGTATGAGTAGAGCCCCGAATGGGCATAGACGACAACGACACGGCGTAAGATGGAATGGAGGCAGGAAATGGCGTGTGTATTATTACCGGTATACTCATCTAGCAATAAACATCATACCGTGTAGAAATGACCTGTTGAAGTCGTGATATTTCTGCTGTGGAAGGGGCTGTCGAAGTACATGATATCGTCAGGGTTGATGATCAGCTCCTTATCCAACCGAGGCACTTTGGCCGTCCATGGCGGACAGCATTCCAGCACTTCAGGCGGTTCAGCCTCGGGTCCTTCGGCCGCGCCACTACGACGCAAACCAATCTCAAGTCGCCACAAAAAGGATAGCACAAGGACCTCGGCCAGAGACGCCATCACGGCATACTGTTCCGGATCCTCACACTCTGGGTCTGGGATATTGGAGGTGGCCCACCGGGGCGACGTGTGGTGCCAAAAGTACTCAGTCTCGTATGTGACCATATGGCCGTCCGACGCACAAAAGGCTTCATACAGCCGGTAAAAAGAGCGTTGGGGCGTGTCGCGGGCCTGCCACAGCGGCATCATGCGCAGGCGCATCAGGTCGCGGACCTGGCACCTGATAGCCTCAGGCGCCGCCATTATGGCACGCGGTGGCGGCGGCAGAACGGCCTCGAAGTGCCAGTGAGGGAAAGGCCACAGGAGCCGTAGGACAAAGAGCCAGGGGTGAGGCTGAGGCGGATGTTGGAGGCTACGTGCAGCACGTAACGAGTATCGGAGACCGAGTCCCGTCTCTGTCGGCAGGAGACGGCGTCTCAGCTTGATTAACGGCCATCGGTACTTAATAGGAAGGTAGCGGAAGTTCCAGAAATAGAGAAATATCTCTCGCAGTCGTGCCATGTTGATGAGAGTGTCGAGGCAGTGGGCGGCGAGGAGGATGATAAACAGGCATCGATCATCGGTCTGGGCGACCAAAGATTTGATTTAATGCACCGACCAGCGATATACTGTGTGAAATATTTCTAGCTATGCACTACGCACCGTACTTCTGGTGACCATCTTCAGTATTATACAAAGCGCTACGAATTAAAAACACAGGAAAATGGCCTTGTGAAATGGCTATTAAAATAGTATGAAAAAGAGAGAAATATAAAGAAAAAAAATATGAAAAGAAAGAGAATTTGTTTTATAAAAGTTGGGAAAACGCCGACTTATTATATGCTGGCACTCCCGCACCTGCCGCCTGCCGCCTGCCCCCTGCTTCCATGATCACCAACGAATGACACTTTCAACTTTCCGGTTGTGAGACTTCTAGTTTGTGTGTTTAATGGCTGTCCTCAAGAATTCAGGGCAGGGCCAGCGTCCGGCATGGCCTCGGGTGGAGATGCCCAGATCGTCCAAGAATGGATGAACAGGGTCGGCAGTTGACGGGCTCGACATGTACTGGAGGATAATTGCAGTAACATAATTTTTTTTCGAGTCTTGGAGAGCTAGAGCAAGTCCCAATCAGTGTAGTGGAAGCAGGTGACAGACGGCAATTTTAGGTAAGGGCTTTTTTTTTTTTTTTTTTTTTTTTTTTTTTACGGGCTTGCTTAGAGGATGCAGTAGAGACTGGGGCAGCGCGTTTAAGGATGCGTACTACTTACTGTTGCCTTCCTTGTGTTGTAGCGTAAAGCGGCATGATAGGCTCATATACTAGCGGGCGACATCTTCTTCAAGGGCCACGGTTATGTGAACTACCAGAAGCATGCAGCTTGTCATATTATATTCAAAGACAAAGGCTCCCAAGTCTATACCGCCAGCACCAACTCTCTCGTCCTTGTCCACACGAATTACCACATTACAGCCGACGAATTTAACTCCAAACATAGTCTTCTTCTAAAACTCCCAGGCACGGCACCTCTAGCGTCACGGAGGATATTGGTCCCTCTATGGGTCTCCCGAGCCGTCTTCGTCGGGATGCAGTATGATCCGTCCCACATCCAACCGCTCGACATATATCCGGCCATCGATCAAGCTTTATACTTAACGATTTCATTACAGGTTCCCCGGCCTCATCGGGTACCTGTCGTAGATAGGTTGACGTCATGCATCGACTTCCGAGACGAGCATCTCCACCCCTCCAATACCATCTCGACTCAGGAGGAATGAATCCATCGGGGCCTCTTCCCTTCTCCTCCATCATGACGGCTCCGAGCTGACCTAGCAACACCACTTTGGTATCCCACGTGCCCTCCCGCCACGGCAAGCTATACGCAACAGCCGCTGCGGTCATACGCAAGTCGTGGTCTCGGCAACACGTCACGACGCACAGGAGAGGCATAAGGACTCCCTCACCAAGCATCATCAGAGCCGGGGCTTTGCCAGTCATCTCCTGATCGACGAATTCGATGCAGCAGTCAAGGAGATCACGAAACTGTGCCGTAAACCCGTCAAGCTCGACGCCCGTCGGATCGAGACAGCAGCTGACCATGATCCAGATCACCTGCCAGTGAAGCAAAAGGAGCCGCAGTGTGCGGCTTCCCGCAGCGCTTGTCTTAGGATCGTCAAGATAGCCCTCAAGAACGGATTTCCAGCGGCACAGACAAGATAGGAATTTTGCTCGCCTCACCGACACCTCGAAAGGGCAAAAATTGTTGTCGTAGGTTGTGAGGCAAAGCGACGTCACGGCGAGCGTGTAAAATCGGCCCCAATACGCGACAGCCTTCGAAATGGGATCGATCGTGGGACGAGGGAACCTGAACTCGGGCTCAACGCGAAGGTGGCGCACGTACGACCATGTGGACTTCAGCTGGTGTGTAAATAGGCCCATGACGGCGAGCTGGGGTAGCACGTATTCTACGTCCTCTAGCCCGTGCGTCGCCAACTCGGCACCGGAAAATAACGTGATGGAGCGCTGCAGTGTGCCGATGCCGCAGCTGACAAGGTTATCGGCTGCACTGAGGTTTCCCTGAAGCATCTCATATACGATGAGAAGCAAAGTCATGGCGAATATCTTTCTGTGGCGGCTCGGGTCTTCACTACCATCACCGCCGAGGGACACTCGGAAAGCTGAGATGGCATTGAGATGGTGGACGAGAGAGGCGCGGTGATGTTCATTGGCGATGTTCTGGGCCGACCACGGGCTTAGCACTGACGGGGGTGGTCTGGTAGCGGAGAGGGTGTGCCTTTGTGGCGTAGTGGTGGTGCCCTCCCAGAAAATGGCTTTGGCTAGCGCTCCAACGGCTAAGATTGATTCACGGACGCAGCTATCTTGAAGTCCTTCCGATACCACTTGAGACCACAGCTCGGTGTCGCAGTACCCAGAGAGTTCGGGGGCAACTTGATAGCGGAAGATACTGAAATAGACGGCTTCCGTGCCGTTGAGCGAAGGTAGGCCGGTCAAGGGCCGTGGCAACTGGGTTTTGGACCAATCTGGACCAGCTCCTCCAGTATCGGAGCCCGAAGCGACAACGGTAGGCGGGACAGGGCTCGGCCGTGGTAAAAGATAATAAAGTGGGCGATGGGCCGCTTCGACCTTGGATTTCCGAGGGTGGGCAGGCCGGGGACAATGGACGGGCCAGCTACACTGCTTTTGAATCGCTGCACAACGTGTACATGTGGGCTTTGTCTCATCGCATTTGACCTTGCGCGCTTTGCACGTCAAACATCCGGATCGACTCTTTGGCTTGCTAGCCCGGGTCCTCTTGTGCGTCTTAGTCTCGACCTGGCGGTCCAGGGCGTTAACGTGGGGCGCCAGGAGGACTCTAGGACGTAAGAGGGGTAGGCTCATCGATTTCATGGGCGGGCATGAGCCGGTCTGGTCATGGTTCGGAGGCATATTGATTTCTCAATGGGGAATGGGCAGGATAGACCAGAAAACAACAGCAGATAAATGGAGTGGCTTAGGAAAAGAGGGATGGGGCGATGGGCATGGGCCTGGCTCCCTCACCGCAAAAATGCATAATGAACGCATTGGCTCGTAGGGCGAGGGTGGCAGCGACGGGTTTACTTTGTATATTTTTCTCCCAAGACTTGAAAACTGCAGCTTATGGCGCAGGGGCTGATTTACACTCGTGAATCTATTGGTTCTCTGGATACGATAGAGCATTGAGCCAATCAAGGACGCCGTCTCATTCTCCAATGCAACTCGAGGGCCAGCTTCCCCTGGACCCAAAATCTTACACTGATTTCTCGGCCGGCCACTCCGTTCCGGGATAAACGCAAGCGGGCCGATCAGCGCAGTCGACGAGCTGAAGCCCCCGAACCCCATTGCAACAGCCAACGCTGCCAGAACATGGATTCATTCGTCCGCAAGACTGCGTCTCTCATTTTAGTTCTGGGCTTACCGTTGTCATTGTTACCATCAGCTTACAGTGTTGCCGAGAGCCAGCGTTCGAAATTCGAATCCTATACGTGGGAGCTTTCCGAGGCCGGATGATTGGCCATCAAAGGGACAAGATGATGCATCGTGAACGGTTGATTTATTTCCAGAGGCGACGTTGAGTTGGGATCATATCGCCAGCCTGGGGCAGCGAGTGGGTATAAAGCGCCGCCTTCCTCGCCCTCAACTCCTCTGTTAAAACTTCCCTCCATCACCAGTCACCTACTCCCCAAGTTTTTTAACCAAACGCTCCCAACGACATAAAGAAAGAAAAATGGTTCAAATCTTTACTACCGCGGCCGCTTTGTTGGCCCTTGCTTCCATCGGGAGAGTTGCCAGCGCCCCGACTGAACCCCAGGGGAACGTCACGTTTGTTTCTCGTACTCTGGAGGAGGCCAGAGCCTTGGTGAGATCTCCCAAAGTTCCTCACTTGCCCCCTATATGTCATGCCAGAGAAAGCTGACAATGTCAACAGTCCGAACTGTTCAAACGAGATGGGCCTGCTGAGCCCGCCAGTCTCGAGAGCCGCCAGGTCCCGGCCTTCGGCGCATACTTTGAAAATTGGGCCTTCCAGGGCGCCGGCTTCTACCATCGCGCCAACATCGATAACAAGGGTTACTATATCGGCGACGAGGTAAGGTTCTTCCGATAATTCCCTAATACAGCTTGGTGATGCTCAGTCCTGGGACTTTGGAGGCTAACTAGACGCGTAACAAAAACCATTAGTGGAACAATCGTATTTCCAGTATCCAGAACTTCGACTATGATAAGAAGTGCACTTACGTAGGTTTCTTTCGCGAACGATGGCCAGTTTCCCTGCTGGTCCACTTGGTTGTTTGATCCTTGCTGACTTGCCTATCAAATGGCACCTGTAGTGGACGGACTGGGACGGCAATAGCGCATGCTACGGCGTCGGCATTGTTCTCGCTGGACGGGTGGAATACGCCTATCTGGACTACCCTTTCAATGACGCTATCAGCTGCCGACAGTGCGGGTGGAACTAAGACTGTCACACGGCTTGATGTTCTATTCCGGGGAGGGTAGGGGGTAGTGTGTGTTTGCATGCATGGGCGTGTGTCTTGGTTTGGGTAACACTGTCCTACTTGTTCGTTGTTAGACATAATAACTCGAGGCAGTGCTGGCACGGAACGTTAGCCGCCACTGCGCAGAAATGATAACCGCTGAACTATTTGGACATTGAAAAATGATTGGTATAGATGTGAGAATGATTTTATCTAGATTCTAGACAAGAACACACCGTCAACCAATCCCCGCTGCGGTAGCTCCCATACTTACAGAGCTCTAAGACCGCGCAATACCTAAGCTGACATCTCCAAGACGCGATCAAGCAACGCATCATATGTATTGATTACTCGGGTCTGATTCTGCAAACCCTTCTGTCCTAAAAATAGCCTCACGACGTATTATATAAGATGAAAGACTTAATTAGAGTGCTCTGCCGATCGACATGTTGTAGTTTACGCAGCCATGTTTCCAAATTCGCCAGAATCCCCGCCCCAGTCATCCTCTAGACTAACGTTGCCCTCCTCTGTAGAATCGGCATCCCCTCCATCGTTACTCTCAGAAGCGGCGTCATCAGCGTGGGGCGTCAGTGCTGGCGAGACGAGTTCAGGTATTGAAGTTCCAAGAAACAGTCCGTCTGGAAGGGGACTGCCCTCCTCAGGACCCTGGCTAGTGAGGTGGGCTGTTCGTGCGCGGGTTGTTGAGAGTGACGGATTCGGGCTGCGCCGACGTCTCGCCGTAGAGTCATTCTCATGTGAGCCGCCTAATGTCGCCGCAGAGCGCTTCTCAAGGTCGGCAGCTAACCCTTCCCTTCCCCCCAAGTGTTCGTCGAGAGGATTATCGAGATGGATGTTTCCCCATAGCCACTTCAGACACTTCCAAGCAGTCCATCTCCTTTTGGGCTCCCTGTATAGCAATCCCTTTAGAAAAGGGCGGAATTGCTGCGGCGCCTCTGACATGTGTGGAATAATTACACCGCGCATCCAGGGCCCGAAGTCATTTCCGTCGGACCTGCTATCCCGAGAAGGGCTCCAAGAGGTGAACAGATGCATGCCGACGAGACCGAGCGCCCATAGATCGATCTTGTTCGTGTAGTTTCGAGGGGTTTCGAATAGCTCAGGGGCCATGTAGATCTCGGTTCCAGTGAAGGTATCCATTTTGCCAGATTCGTTATGCTTCGAGGTACCAAAGTCGGCGAGTTTGACAGTCAGTCCGTGGTCGTCCCTTTGAACAAGCGCATTATCGGGTTTGACATCCCGATGGGTGATGCCGCGTCCGTGCATGTAGTGTAGTGCGCTGGAGAGATGGGTCATCACTGTCAGCCTGTCGCACTCATCTAGGTTTGGCATGGCATCACGGAGGTTCAGCGGTATGTATTCAACGATCATCCATGGCGGCAGTGTGACATCCTCGGCGACGACGAGGTCATAGGCTTTCACAATATGCGGCTGGTGAAAATAGGCCGTCAGTACTCGGTCGGCCCGTCTATAATGGGAGCGTGTTATCCGACTCACATGGTCGAGTTGCATGATGTATTTATATTCCTTTTGAAGCGTCTCGAACCGTTTCCTCGCAATGTCAGGGTTGTCGGTAGTTCTATAATATGGCTCCTTCGCCCCGAAGGTTCTACCCGTCTTCCGATCTTTAACCATCATTACCGACGCATGCATCCCCTTGCTTTCGACTCTCCACCCACCGACATACACGGCGCCATTTCTCCCGTAGCGAACGTTGTGTGGTTCGGTCTCTGGATGGCTTTTGATGGAAGGTATGTATTTTGGTAAGGCTGATAGGATGTCCTGACTGAAGGCCCTAGCTAACTTTCCATACTCCCTGGCTTCAGCGGCTGTTCGCTCTGGGGCCCAAGCTCGAAAGCTAACCGCCCCGAGATCGACGGTCGCTGGACAGAGTAGCTCTATGGGCTCGTCGGGCCTGCACCGGAAGCTGCGGTTGCCAAGCTCTATGCTGATCCGTTTATCGGTCAATGCCGTTACTCTCGGATAATGCGTCACTGGACTGATGTCGAGTCTGATAGACCGTCTGCTGATCCCCGTTTGGTTGTTCTCGGCAAGCTGGAGGTCGCACTGATCGGAGTCGTCATGAGAGCCCAATACCCAGCCCTGGGGATCAAATAAATGCTCTCCGATTCTCAGACAAAGGAAAGGAGGCCTCGGCATCTGTTCGCCTGCCTGGCCACCCTTCCAGGATTCATCGGTATCTTCATCACGAGGGAGAAACTCATATCTTGAGTTATCAGATAGTTTTAGAATATTGTCGACACCAACAAAAGAACCCAGAATCAGTACAACACTGGAGAGGTCGAGGGCCTTTGTGGTCGACATTCCAAGGATGGAAAGAACGATAAGGAGGATGTTGTGTTGGGTATGGTTTTCGGGGAGAAGAAGCACACCGGGAGACTGAAGTCTGCGTGATTGACGGGGAAAGGGAGGGGGGAGGGCAAGATCCGGCTTCATTCGCTGGTCAGGGAGAGGCGGGGTTGCTGCCTATCCCATGTTCACGAACGGATGAGTCGTGTTAGCGGCCAGCTCTCGATCTGCGTGGCCTGCTTTTCCCGACCCCAGCGCCAGCAGAAGCCCTCATGCGAGACCTGGTCCTGCTCGCTACCCCGCCGTCTGGAGGTCCCTGCTTGTCCGTCGGTTGCGTTCGCTTCGCAGGTTCTGTAGCTCGCGCCAACCGCCGGCGCCGTCTTTCGTCGCGTTTTAAAAGCGCATCTCTCAGCTTGTACTCTTGGGCTCTAATTGCTTGTTGATAAATATCGGCCTCGTATTCCCAGTACTTCTGATCCTTAATCGAGAGCCGCAGTTCTTTAATCTCGGTTGTCGATAGCCCGCTGAGTCTTAGTAGGTTCTGGTACAATCGCGCCAGAGCCCGCCAGTGATCTGCCAAAGAATCGTAGTCCGCACTGTGCGCCGAGTTGACTTTCTCTGATAACTTCTCTCTCAGAGCATTGTCGTAGTAGAGATACTCGGTCTCCCAATATTTGCTCTGAGAAATCTGCATCCGGTGCCTATCAGCTTCAGCGGGTTTGAAGTGGTTGCGCAAGGTTTCGCATCTCCATTGACTGCCCTCGTCGGCGTCGTCTGGGCATGCGAAATCAGGAGTTGCGTCTTCCCGACTCCTGACCACCTCCTCCAACCGCGTCGCAATGCTCTCACCAACGGTATGGATTACAGAATCGGCCACGTAGGGGGGGTCCGGGACCGGGTTGGTGGGTGAGTTCATGCCTTTGGCCCAATTGAACAGAACTTCGAGCAGGATCGAGAGTGATGCACCTTCGTTAGGAATGTCGGGTGAATGATTTGGCGAGACAGGCAATTTAAGGATTAACGGTTTGTCACGTGCCTTTTCCGCAGCGCTTTGACCTAGGGATTTTCCTTCCCTCCGCGGCCGATGCATTCTGGGGATTGAATTCGGGTAACGGATCGGGAAGAGTTAAAGGAGAGAATGGCGAGAGCGGCTGGTGTACACGTGTTAGGTAGAGAGGCGATTGGGCAACCAGTACCAGACGGCACTCCTCGTACGCTCACCGAGAAGAAGGTAGAGTTGAGAGTCGGCCGACTGTCCCAGCGCCTAGGCGAGCCTCCTTAGACTCCTTTAAAACATTTTCTACCAGTAAAATATAGATAGAGGTAAGGAGAGTTGTCATCCTCATGAAAGCTGGTGCATGGCCGACTGGTTCGAGCACTTGCTTCGTCTGGATTCAGACCGTCTGCTGCCTCGCGCATCCATCTGTGACGTGCGTGAGCCAAGTGTTGAATATTTCTAGGTTGGGGTCGGCGACTACTTCGCCGGCCCCAGATAATAACGCCACTCAATGATGTGCGGGGTGTCGATGATGTCGAATACTAGCTCTACTCTTCAGAAAGTCCCATTGGACCTCAAGCTGTTTGCGTTGTAGTTGCCGATATATTGTCTGAAAGCCCGGGAGGTTATGGGTGCAATTATACAAAATTGGAGACAATGGACAGTCCCAAGTTCACCGATACCGAAAGTCACTAGGCCATACCATATTCATGCCAGGGTTGAAAGAGAATTCTTCAAGTTTGGCATAAAGTTCTCGTCATCCGTGTCACAGCATTTGAGCTCGGCTGCCTGGCAATCCGATAATCACTCCCTTCCATGTTGCTGACGCAGACAGAATAATTCTGCAAGTATTAACTGTCTGTGAAGAACGCGGGCGTCCTCGAGTACCAAAATTCCGATTAACAGGACGATACATGTTCTGGCCGGTAAGCTTTGTCGATTTGTGTCCATATCATTCTCCGCTCGGCGTTCCTGTGAGCAGTTACGGGGTGAGGCCAGGTACGTCATCGACGTCCTCATTTCTATCCTTGACGCAAATATATACAGCTCACGTCAGACTGAATAATAGCCTATTATAACTCGTTGTGCCAAGTCTCCTTCGAGAAGCGACTGGGGGGATTCGATGCGTCCCTCCTCGAAGCCCTCCCAGCCAAGACAGCCAAACTAGTATGAGAGGGACGGGCATTTTAATAGCAGTGGGCGCAGATAGAAGCATCACGGGTCAAGATCCTTTGGGACAATGGGAACCCCACGAATCTCACGCGGAAAATATATACATAACGAAATTGGTCTTGTTACCATCGTCTCCCCATGCGGTCTGAAGAGGGTCCCTGACGAGCAGATGCTTGACGTCCGCCTCATCTCTGTAGTAGCCAACCACGTCCAGGCCCACTCCTGCTCGAAAGCTTGTTGTATTCAAAAGCTAAAGGTTACAAGGTCGAATCATGCGGTTTCTGTCTTGATGCGATGATCCAACGGAAAAACAAATCTACTGTAAACCCATAGTAAGTGCCCGATCGAGGAGAGCTGGGGCTTTAGGGTAGAAAGAGACCAAATGCGTGGTCGATTTGCTCGTGCCGCGTGCCTCCATGATGGCTCCCGTGAGCACGCTGAAGCGTTGATGTAAACAGGGATATCTAGGTAAAAGCTTGCTGGCCACTCTAGTGAAGGATATAGAGAGCTAGGCAAACCCTAGACTTTACTTCCCAGCACTGGCTATTTCAGTCCAATATTTCGGGTGAGACATCTGAGGACCCGAGACTTCGAGCTTGTGCGCTTCGGTGTGGCCTACTACTCGGGCTTCCGCTAGGCACCGTTGAGGACATTGGACTAATCGATGTATAGTCCGAAAGGCGAGACCGGAAGACCAGTGAACGCTGTAGATAGTCATCAAGTGGACCGCTTAGTGAAAGGCCATCCAACGTTGCCGCGAAATAGTCCTCGTAAAATACCGAGTAAGGGGCCCCGACTGTAATATTTCCGGAGTTGTCTACTGAGAAGTGGACTCCTTTTATCTCGTTTTCGGGGGAAATGAAGAATAGCGTGGACTCATCCAACACAAATATCGAGCCAGGTTTTACAGGGCTGATCATCTGCGGGGAGTGAAGGTTGTCGTACCACGGGTGTCCTCTGAAGTAATAAATCATGTCTTCGACCGTTTGACAGAACATGCCAACTGCTGGTCCAATCTTATCCGGACTGAATACTAGCTGACATGAGCCCGGAGATGGTCCGAGAAGATGCCCATGTAAGTTTATCTCCCTCTCGCTGATATCTACAGGTAAATCATGTAGGTTTTCAGGCTGGAAGTCACACCAGCTACTGAAGCCTCGCACCTGGTATCGCGTTATTCCGGCTTGGTTGAACTTGTATACTCGCATCGAGTTCTCTTGCTCAGTGTAGCAAACTTGATCACCTGGCTGGAGGGGGATCTCAAAGGGGTGTGGTAGAAGATCCCAGTGGCCGCTTAAGCGCCTGCACGTGCGAATGCCTTCAAGTTTCCCAGACGAAGAGATAAAGGCAAATCTAGTGTTCCCTGTTTCCCAGACCACAAGGTTTCCCTCAGTTGGAGGTGCCGAGGTTATGTCCATCCGTAGTTCTGTCCTCTGCGTGGTCCAGCGGCGCTCCTCTCGCGCTTTTCGAAAATCCAGTCGGCATTCGGTGACACCACAATACCCTTCACCACCCCTGGCGAATATGAAAAGTCTCAATATTAACATTCCATTAGAGGCATGGGCTAAGTCGCACCGTATAAGAGAGTTAGCCTCTACCTGAATGACGGGATCAAGAAGGATGGCACTTCTATCACCCCTAGCGGGAATTAAGGCAAGTTGAATCCAGTCATCCGGCCGCTGGAAGAAGAGAAATCCCCAAGGAGCATTGAGTAGTCTAATGATAGAGATACTTGTACTCGCTGAAACAACTACCCGGCTTATCTGGGAGCTTGATCCATCGTTTGCCATCCGAGATTGTCGCTCTAAGACCATCTTCGTAACCGCATCAAGTAGGTCTATGGGGTTGTGGCCCTGAACTTCCGCGTTGTTCTCAGGATCTCCCTTGAAAGAGAGAGGGGCGCTCGAAAGGCTGCTAGTAGCAGGCAATTCTAAGTGAGCTTTCGCGGATGGCCGGAACTCGGATGCGATAGCTGTTCCACAGTCAATAGAGTTCCGCTGGGAAGGATCTGGACTGCGTTCTCTATCTAGGCTATTGTCGGGCTGACGTGCTGCTGGAGGTGTTGAGGCCCTAGTTGTAACTGAGGGCTGTGGTGGGGCGGCCTGCTCCCAGGTATCAGATAGATCCACTAGAGGTAAAACCGGTGATGAAGCAAGCTCATCAAAACTGCCCGTGGGAGTTGCCTGTTGCTCTAAACTCGCCAATACTTGATCAGGCTGGTCCTCTGAGGAGATTCGGGCATGGCAGATGGATGAGGTGCAAGGTGTGACATGCCGCTGCCTATCCTTTGTTGAGGCATTGGCCAGCACCCTCAATCTGACCTGCCGCGCCTTTAACACTGACCTTTGAAGGAGCCAGCTTGGAGCGGTCAGTCTCCGCTTCCTAGCTGGCTGGTTTGCTCCGGCAGAACCGGCAGGACTGGAAGACCCAGGTTTTGGTAGCCTAACCTCCTGTCCTCTCAGATTGCTTGCAGCCATCAACTGGGATGCGGCTTCCTGCGCACGCCCGAGGTGCTCCCTTGTAACAGCACGAATCTGCGCCAGGCCCTTCAACTCGGGGGTTGGTGGATTCTGAAGCTGCCACTCAACCAGCCTAACCAGAACACAGCTCAAGTTCACAGACATCCACACCGCAACTGGGTTGAGGTCAAGCAGGATATTCTGCACATTCTCCTTCTTCAGGGCGAACATAATCCTCCCATGGGTTTTGTTCACCTTACATCTCTGGAGGATTTCGCCTGCTTTCTTGACTTGCGATCCGCAATCTTCTAGTAGTGATCTAATTTGCTCCCCGTCTAAAATCTGGTTCAGCACCGTGTCCGGGCATCGTTTGATGACATCGGCATAGGTTAAAGCGGCGAATGTAATCGTCTTGTTTCAATGAGTCAGCTACTTGGAGGGAGAAATGAGGGATTTGGTCGCTACCTTCTCTGTATTCTCTACTTGTCGCATCAGAGTAGGGTAGCTGCTGATCGCGCCTTTGTAATCATTATAGAACTTTTGTGTAGCAGTCGCGACGCCTGAGAGTAGGCCGACTAGTTGAGCTGCAGCTATGCCCCCACTGAAGGAATCCATGATGTCTCCACACCTGCTCAGGAAGGAAGGGTTGTTCTCGGTAGTGATGAGTGGAGCTCCTCCCCGTGCGCCTTCCGCCTTGCTGCCTAATTTCAAGATACAAGTTGTTCAATCCTTGGTTCCGGGTGGAGACGATGCATCAAATGTAATTGGTTGTGTCTGCATAAACAGTGGCAGCCAGCTGGCTGAAACAGATCATTGGAGACGGCTTGCTGCTAGTAACCTTTCACGCCCAAGCCCAGCGGCCCTAGCGGGGCTCTGCAGCGTACAACTATAAATACAGGTATTTCCACTTCCCGCTTCCAAAATCGAGCTTTCCCCCACAGAAATGTCCCGGCTCCACACTAGGTTATTCCTGCCCGAAAATTGCTACCCTGTCCGCTTGAATTTGGTTATCCCTCTATCAATAGTCTCTCTAGTTGTTCTACGTTTATGCATTGCCGCCATGGCCTAACCAGCATTTTCTGATAATGTGCTCCCACTGGAGGGTATTATATAAAACTCACGAGAATCTCTTGACTGGAATGATTCATCCTTTAGCCTCAAATCCCACCTCCCTCCTCATTCTTATATGTCTTAAAGAGGAGTGATCAAACCCAACCAGCTCCTTGCAAAAACACCAGGCACACTATGAACCTGCTCGATCTCCCCAACGAACTCATCATTTCCATCGCAAACTGTCTAGAAAGCTATACACAACTCTCCCGGTTCAGCCGCACAAATCGCCATGTTCACACTCTGGTCATGCCCCTCCTCTACCAACGCAACATCAAATATGGCAAATGCTCAGGTCTCAAGGCGCAGCTTACTCCTTTGGAAACAAAACATCCCATAGGACGCTTCTTCGCCGAAATGGAGGAGGATCTAGAAGAATATAACCACCCTTCTCAGCTAACTACGCCGGATGGTCTGCCAATGCCGGTGACTGAGGAGATCGCTATCCGCGATGCAGTCATCGGCCAATTTGTAAAGCACGGTGCCAATCTCGATGCCCTTGACCAGGTCAAATATGGACAAGACATGTCCCTCCTGCATGGCAATGCGATGGCGCGAAATGCACCAAGTACGTTCCTTCTGGTAAAGCACGGCGCGGACATCCATGCTACCAGCCGTTACGACAAGCGCACGGCACTTCATTGGGCCGCGGTCGGAGGTTGCGCGAAGATCATTCGCTTCCTGATTCAAAAGGGATCAGATGTGAACGCGCGGGAATGGGAGGAGCGGACACCGCTGCACTTCGCAGCGCAAGAAGGTCATGTCACTGCCATTCGAATCCTAGTTGAGAATGGGGCCGATATCAACGCGCAAGATGAGGAAGGGTGCACTCCGCTGCATCTCATGATGATGAATGGCAAGCCGGCACCGGATTCATGGTGTATCCCGGCGCTGAGGGCGATGTTCGAGCTTGGCCCGAATACCGAGCTTGGAATGTTTGAGGATAACAAGACAGCGCTCCATGTTGCGATTCTGAATGAACGAGACATGGACTTTATGGAAGCGCTGCTGGAGTCGGGTATGGATCTGAATTCTCGGACGGTGGAGGGACGGACGCCGCTCTCTTGTTGTGTGGAAAGGGGGGATATGAAGACGCTCAGGATGTTGGTCGAAGCGGGCGCGGATGTCTGCACGAGGGACGAGGAGGGGCGCTCCCTTCTCCAGATTGCTCTTGAAGATGAAGATCGCGCGTATGGGTGCTTGCCTACACTTCTGGAGGAGGGCCTGTTTACGCTGGACTCAGATGCTGGGGATGGAAAGACATTGGCGCAGGCTCTTAAGGAGCGGGGCTGGGTGTATACAATTAAAGGCCGGGTTGAGGGTATGCCTGAGATAGATAAACTTGACTTAGAGTAGCCTTAGTCACTGCTATACAGACGATGCTTCGTGATATCAGTTTCCGAATACATGGAGTAGAACCTGCGGTATGCCCCTTTGCGACCCTTCAACGGTCCAATCGATGGCCAGACGTGGCGCATTGAGCTTCTCTAATAGCCCTTGAAAAAATTTGCACTGTTGACATTCTTAAGCCACTGGCTCTGCCATGTAGATATCATCAGTCCAACTTAACTACAATGCTCCGCAGGCTGCGTCAGAGAGACGACCACGCCGTGGCTGCCGTGCTCCAGGATTGTGCTGTCAAGACCTGGCCCTACAAGCTCGTGTCCTGGGTGTTGGAGACCCTTCTTAAGGAGCCTAACGGGGCATTCAACCTCCAGACGCTGACTCCCGTGCTTCACCTCCAACGGCGATGTTGTAAGGCCCATGAGAAATCCTCTTGCATCTCGCTAGAAAGGAATGCAAAAGCAATACAGAAGGAGCGCTGGCATGAGTCAACGACGAGTGGAGGATGTTCTGGAGGTCCGGGTTCTGTTTGCTGCCTCGATGTGAATAAGGCCTACAGCAGGTATTAGCCTGGGGGCTGTAGCTCAGTATACAAGAGCAAACATACACTCTCGCAAACTAGGCCTCCCAGGCAGTGGCAGACAAATATCATCGGCCGCTCATTCTACCCGCGTCAGTATCATCGCCAGTTCTACACAGCTGCTAGCACCTACCGTATCATCATCCTCTCGGTACGACCAAGAGAGGTCAGTGGATTCCAGGCGTGGTTAGCTATTTGACCCCGTGATACCAGTCCGCTATGGATGCATCGTATCTGTATGTGAGAATGCGTGCGGTCAGGAGTTTGGACAGGAGAAGGGTCTTAGGCCATGGCTCGCATGTGTCGCTAGTAGTCTAGGTCTTCTCTCAGTCGCTAGTTAAGCTGTGGATAAAGACGATACTAGGAGGAAGTGTGCTAGCTATGTTATCTAGGGCAGCTGCGCATATACTCGATAATGGCGCCGCCCGGGGGGGGGGGGGGGGGGGCAGGTAATAGCTTGATTCCAGAAGGGAAAGTAGTTGAGGATGCTGCTGTTTCAAATGACGACTCAATGACGCTCTCAGCTGCCGACAGTGCGGGTGGAACTAAGCCTGTAACACGGCTTTGATGTTCTCTTCCGGGGAGGGTAGGGGGTAGTGTGTGCTGGGTTTGGATAACACTGTCTGTCCTACTTGTTCGTTGTTAGACATAGTAACTCGAAACAGTGCTGGCACGGAACGTTAGCCGCCACTGCACACAAATGATAACCGCTGAACTATTTGGACATTAAAAATGATCGGTATAGATGTGAGAATGGTTTTACCTAGATTCTAGACAATAATCCTTCGGTACACCGTCAACTAATCCCCGATGCAATCTGGGGAATGAATTCAGGTAACGGATCAGGAGTAGTTAAAGTAGAGAATGGTGAGAGTGGCTGATGTACAAGCTAGGCAGAGAGGGAGATGGGGAGAAGATGGGCATCCCACCTCGAAACCCATCCAGCCAAGACAGCCAGACATCATCGTGATAGAGACGAGCAATTTGAGAGCTGGCCATTATAGTAGCAGTAGGCGCGGATAGAAGTCTCGCGGGTTAAGTTCCTTTGAGAGAACGGGAACGTCACGAATCTCACGCGGAAAGCAGAAACCGCAAAATTCGAAACTGGATCCTTTAGCTTTCGCATGCAATAAGCCTCCAAGCAGGAGTGGACCTGGACGTGGTTGACTACTGCAGACATGGAGCGGAAGTCAAACACCCGCCCGTCCGGGACTCTCTTCTGACGGCATGAGGAGGCGATGGTAACAAGACGAACCATTTTCGTTATGTGTATACGCAATCTTTGATGCGATGATCCATTGGAAAGACAAGTCCAAAATCATCCAGGGATATTTTGCTTCTGTCATAATCTTTACTTCCATCGAACACGAGGCTGTTTCGCATGCTACGGAGCACTGCACAATGGAGGGAGTGAGGGGCTGTGGCCGTGGCTGTGTTGCCCGAAATTGATAAATAACCGTGACTAGGCGTTCTTGCTCATCCTGTTGGCATCTGCAGGGCGCACAGGCCACAGCGCACCCTCTTTTAAGGCGCTCTCGTGGTCTCAAACTTGACATGATCACCAAATTCTTCTGCTTCTGTGATTGTCTTTTAACACATCCCCCTTCCGTCTCTCATATGCATCTCCATGACTCCCGTAAACCAAACTTTTGCCAGCGCTAGTATATCGTAGGCCAAAAATACATCTTGGAAATGGAGGGTATATCTGTTGCAGCTAGCGGTAAGTGTCATAGGATGTTCGCCCTTTGCGTGCGTCACATCATAACGGCTTAGCAGGCATTGCTGTGGTTTCTCTAGCACTCCAACTTGCCGACACAGCTCAAGAACTCCGAACGTTCTGGAGGAACGTGAGAGATGCCCCGGATGAAATCTGCACCATGACGAGAGAGCTAGATTTGCTCTCCAACATTCTTACCTCAATTGCCTTCAAAGCACAGAATGAGTCGATCGATGGGAATTTGACAGCAGCCCTTGGGAACTGTATGCGGGGCATAATGCGCCTTCGTGAGACTGTCGTGGAATTTCACGGGCCTCTTGAGACAGGGCAAACGCGAAAACGAAAGTGGACAGCAATCAAGGCAGCCTGGAAGAAGGAATCAACCACGGAGTTTCGCCAGTCTATTGAGGTGGCTAAAAGCACGCTTCTCGTGGCTCTTCAAGCTTCACTTGAGTAAGTCTTCGACATGAATACTATCTTGTGGAGCTAGGCCTTGATGCAGACCTTTCGATGATGCTGAATTGATTTCCTGGTTAACATATGTCTAGTCGTCGAATGGTCGCGAATTCCATGCATAGCAGGCAAACGATGACCAAGCTGCTCGATAACACAAATCGGCTGGAACAGAGCCACCGGGATGTCGGGGAGGCATTGGCAAGCCTGAGCCAGAGGATGTCGGCAATGCAGCTGGAGACAGTGACTGAAATTTCCCGATTAATAAGACAGGAATCGTCCGGGATCAGTGCCCATTTCGATGCCCTAGGGGCTTCAATCCGACAAATGGCCAAGGAGATTCCAGATTCCGTCTTGCGCACAGGATTCGTCATCGGCGCAGAACAAGGGTTACAAGAGCTGAAGAAGAGCGAGGATATCAAAATTGCTCTTAGCAATGTAACAACCACTTATCGACACTCCCTAGAGACGGAGGTAGAAGGCTCGAGATACGTCCATCCCAGCCCTAGTCACCCCAATTCGACACTTCACACATTCAACAGCCCCGCCGAGTCTGCACAAGTCGACCCGATTTTTGTCGACGGGACACAGATAAGACCGTTTCCAAACTGCCGTACACAGCTCTGTCGGGTTCCCACACGCAACTTGTTCGGGACATTCATTTTTGAGTTCAAACTGGTCATAACATCCATTCGTACCTTTCGGCAGGGTTCTCGAGCGCCTCATGGCGAGATGTCGTACTCCATCTTGTTTCACCCTTCCCCCTGGCTCCTCAGATGCGGAGTTAGATACGGAATCGAAATTGCAATTCTGAAGTCTCTGAAGGGCTGGGATTACAAGTTCGAGCCAATCCGCTTGGTGAAAGATGACGCACTCATCTTCACTTTCTGTCGTGACGGCAACCTAGATGGAGTTCACGAATTATTTTCAAGGGGGGAAGCGTCTGTTGTTGACACCGACTCACAAGGGTGGAGGCCACTCCATGTACGTATTGACCCCATGCCGAACTCAGACGAGGGCTTAGAAGCGCGCAATTCTCCCGAGTACTCCACATAACCAGTCCTCACGTTAACGACAATTCTTCAGTACGCCACGCGCAACGGGGAAGTAGATATCTGCAAATTTCTGATATCGGCAGGAGCTGACAAGACAGCCCGCACGTATCCGCATATTGGTCATGAAAGTAACAGGTACGATTAGCTCATCTACTTTTTGTGACCTACTGACGTGATTGGCTCCAGCACTCCAATATCATTACTTTTTTCCTTGTCGCAACGACGTCTCGAGCTCCTCGACATTTTTGACGACTGTATTGATTTTTGGGATGAAGATTCCGATGGCTGGGCTCTTGTACGCCGAACGGCGGACAAGGACAACTCCACTCTCCACCCGAAGCCATTCGTACCGCATCTCCTCAGAAAGTATCGACGGGAAATGTCAGAAAACATCTGCCAAAATAATGTCCTCAACCTTCTGATCTTCTCCTCTAGCGGTTCGAATATGGAATCATTCAAAATGTGCCTAGCTCTACACGAGGATGCAGCAAATTTCACGGATGGCCGGGAAGGCCTTTTGCACCACATTGCAAGGACAATTAACGAACAAGACGAGGAAGAAGCGGCTGTCTATGTCAACTACGTGCTCCAAAAAGGTGCCAACATTCACCTTGTGGTGGACGGGGAAACTCCAACCTCTTCTGCGATGACGTCCTCCATGGAATTTCGGAAATGGATCGCATTGCTACAACGAACGCCTATCAGAGACGAAGAACTTATAGCTGGCGAGCTCGCTTCCGCTCAACTCCCGCTGTCTCTGGAAGGATGGACGAAGGATAGTCTGCGGACTCTAATTATGCTATCTAAAACCCCTCTGCTCGCACGAAGAACGGCAAATTATCAATTCCTTGAAGAAGATGCAAATCTTTGTTGCCGAATGCTCACCACGGAGAGGTGCCATGGGGCAGACATAGAACCCTGGTGGGACAGGCTCCTGGAGATGATCCTCGCTCAGAAATGCGTATGCGGATTTCTGAAAGAAACTTATTTCAGAGATATAGCCTCAACCTCGTCCTGGAGCACTGCCTCATCAGGCTTTAGTGACAGCGGACTCGATGATAGAGACGACATTACAGAGACAAATTCTCGACAAGGGAAAGGAGCAGAGCACACCCCGCAAGATGGAAGAAACGCTTATTTCGAGCAAGATAGCACCTCGCACAGCATAGCTGGCCACCAATGCTATTATTCGCCTCCGATAGACATACGCAACTGGCGACTGGGAGTGCAGGCGCCCGCCTCAGAGGAACCTTGGGGTGGACGAGCTAGCCAGGCTGCAGACGGTTGCCCATTTCCAACCTCCCCGGTTGAGAGGCGGAAATGGTACTATCCGCAGGAAGCGTATTGCTGGAGTTGCTATGAATTCGTAGAGGGCCTGGAAAAGGATGACAGTGACTCGGGCGAAAGTGTGGTTCCATTGATGCCTGGGTCGTATGTATACGACTAGGCTTGTAGTTCTACTTATGGTACATGTACCATGGATTCACTATCTAGGCCATGGCATATCCTTGGAGCATTTGAAAGGCAGCGGCCGCCGAACGCAAGGATCGGGCTCTCTAGCTCGAGTCCAAACAGGCCGCCGCGTCGGCGGCCACGATCACGTCGATAGCAACCTACAACAGGACTCCAGATGAAAGCGTTGGCCACGGCAATGGCATGCCCCTGTCATGGATATTTTGGATTTCCCGTCTCGACGCTGCCGTGGTCGTCCTCGTGGCGTGTGTGTCGGTTGAGGACGACGTTGGCCCGAACGACGGCCCTCTTGATTAGAGTACATTCCGGCTTTGCTCTCTGTGAGTAAGCAAGTTATGAAAAGGGATTGACTAAGGTATATAGAGGAGATCTGGTAAATGGATGAGAATTGCGATGTTGAATTGTGCTGCAGACTTTAAAAAAGAAAAGAGTTCCATCGAGTGAGCCTCGCTCTTTAATCTGACGTTCCTGCGGACTGTGTGAGGACTGATCTTAAGCGATCTGTCGTAAGCTCTCTCCGCTTAGCCTGACCGATTACAGAATCCTCACGTGTCCTCGTTTTGGCTATTAAACTGCATTTCTTCGCTTCTGTGCCTATATTTCTACCCCGGTGCTTCTGTTAAGGGAAAGTACGTATAGGTGATAGGAGCGAGTTAGAAGCGGTATTAAAGGGCATCCACAAGAGATGAGAATTCGAGGCACCGAGACTCTGCTTAATGTAGTGTACAGAGAGCATATCTGAGGAGAGTGAGGGAAGAGGGCGAGAAGGGACGGTCATTTTATGTCTCTAGTTCGTAGGAGGAGCAGGATCAAGAAAAGGCGCGAAGGGACAAGGCAGTGCAGCCTATTAAGCCCAGCCAAGGAACTCATTTTGGCCACCCCCAGGACCAATTCTGGGCCCACTCGTTTAGATTCAAAGCAATTCATGAGCCGCTGCGTGACATTACCCAAAGCAGTGGTTGGGGTGAGCAAAGGTGAGCAGAAGGAGCAGCATGTCACATGGGCTGTACCGGGGCGCGGTCATATAGATTCGTCTCATCTAATAGAAGTAATAGCTTTGATAAAGGAATAAGGCAAGTACATCCACGCCCCTCCTCCCCAAAAAGGGGGAAGCCCACTTTCAGGACAGTAGTTGACTACCTGACAAATACCCTCCATGGTACTAGCGCTCCTGATTCTCGCATAAACCTCGTTGATGGGCATACTCTTCAGCGTATCATTGTTGCGATTGGAGCATATGTATTCGTTGTCCTCAGACCGGTGGGGTGGGTGGAAATTCTCTGTAGACTGACAATGATGGGTGCTAGACCAGGGAAAGAACAAACAGCCTTGGTGCCATTAAGTGTCTCGTCTCAGCCTCACCTTCCGTTTGGGATCAGCCTCATGATTCATCCCTCCTTTCACATGGTAGAGAGACTAGTTTGGTCCTACCATGTGCGCTTGTTGAATGCGGGTAAATCCCGCAATATATACCTGGACAGTAGGTTACATAAAACCACCTTCCCCCTGCCAATCTCCCTGGTTCTCTTTCCTTCTTTCACAACTCGCCCGCTCCTTCTCTTCCACCACAATGGCAAAACAGAGCGAAAGCCCCCCAAAACTGGCGCGTTCGCAAAAACCACGACCTCTATTTGTCTATGGCACCCTATGTGCGAAACCACTTCTGGCGTGGGCAACAACTGGCGACGCTTCCAATACCGCCTCCATTTCACAAATCGCACGCCCTGCCCGGGTTGATGGATACGCACGCTTCGCTATCCATCACCGAGACTACCCCGCTGCCGTCAAACGAGAGGGCGCATCTGTACAAGGATGTCTTCTTGATCTCGAAACAACTTCCCAGCGAAAAAAACTGGATGACTTCGAAGGCGAGGCCTATAAGCCGACGGCGGTCTCGGTCGCAGTCTCTCGCGATGGCCAACCAGATGAGATCGTAGAGGCAGACATGTATCTCTGGGACGGGGAAAGGGACTGTGTTTCATCGGAACCATGGGATCTTGAAGTTTTTATTCGAGAAAGACTCGAGGACTGGATCGACCTCTTCGAAGGAATGGGACTGGTTGGAGAGGGCGAGGACTCAACCGCTCATCTTGTCACTTGACTCCGCTTGCACGGCCCTCTTCCTCCTCGCCTCCCCTGCTTAACTGCAAGTCATCTGATCCACCACCTTAGGACAGCAAATTGTGTCTTAGTTCCTATTTTATATTTATCGGGATGTAGCGACTCTATACCAACGCATAAGCGAATCAGAAAGCAGTAGCCACATACACCAAAATGCCCAAACAACGAAGGGTCTGCGTCTGGCACGAGCAACGCGCTACGGGTGCCTCTAATGCCATCCCAATAAAAAGAGAAGAAAAAGAAATCCCTACCAATAAAAATCACTTGGAAGTAAACGGCTTTCACATGTCACGTATATTCACGAGTCATGAAAATACGCCGCCTATTAGCGTTCCGACATTCTGTGCTCTGTCTATAATAAGGGCAGGATTCTGCCACGCAGGAACACTATCACCTCCAGGTACAAGGTCTAGATAGTCCAATGATATAATACTATTCTCAGAAGTTCTCCACAGTAATACTCCAAATGTATCAGGATGTTCCAAATAATTAATACTTCTTTTCATTTAATATCTTAAGACAAGGCTCTCAAAACCGGAAGAACAGTCCAAGCCGTGGAGAGTAGATTGATATATCGGCGAATCATTCTACGAGGTGCTCCTAGCAGACGAGGGTATTTTTTCATATATACATATAAGGGCTGGCATTAGTTTATTCCGTCTTCTCCTTCTCCCACGACAATTCTCCGTCGTTTCCTCCAGGACTGAATCGCCGGCGTGAAAAGGTCGACTTGGGAAACCCCAGCAACGACACCAAGGTATACAGTTCGCTAATGGCCCTTGAAGACTCTGGATGCGTAGAACGGGCTATGTAGATCTAGTATATAATTCAACAGTCTTCCTCCATGCCCATATACAGGTCCGCAGAGTACCGTTCTGTGCTCCCATCCTCGAATTAGGTTCAGGATAGTTGAGGAAAAGCTGACCCTATGCAGTTACCCACTCCTCATTTTCAGCAGTTTGGGAAATGGGTAGGTTTATTCGAATCCTGGGTATGGTATTTGAGGTGAAAGTCAATTGGGATCATGTTGGAGTAGACTTGCAACAGCAGGCCGACTCTACTATCCAATACTAACCCTAGAGCCTAGGGCCTCCGGAGAAGCCATCATCTCTGTGCGACTGACGATCGCAGCGCCGAAGGAGGCCCAGAAAGGGCCGAAAAGCACACAGCTCTTCTGATCAGGCCCGGGGAATGTTAAGATGGCCAGGAACCATACAAAGAAACTCTCTTCAGGAGACCACAAGCAATGAAGGATAGATTTCTGTAACTCTCTCTGCGTGCATACAAGTATGAATGAAATGTCCGCCCATCCGCGAATCCACACAAATACTCCTCAGAAGTGAGAACTCCAAGGAGGTCAAGAGCTCAAATACCCGCACTAGCCCACTGATCAGGAAGTCTTCCGTTGCGCCGCAAAGGTCTCGATAAACTTGGCAAGCTTCTCCGCGCCCTCAAGAGGGATGGCGTTGTAATTAGAAGCACGCACACCGCCAACCGACCTGTGGCCGCGGAGCCCAGTGAGTCCAAGGGCAGTAGCCTCCTTCAAGAAAACGTCTTCTGCGGCATCGCCACCTTCGATCCTGAAGCAGATATTCATACGCGATCGCACCGTCTTATCAGGAGTGATGCGATAGACCTCAGGATGCGCGTCGAGAACTGCGTAGATCAGCTCAGCTTTCTTTTCGGCTATGGCTTGCTGTCCTTGCACTTTAGGGCTCTGCTTCAGCAGCCGCTTCAATACCTGGCCTGCAAGGTATACACTACAGAACACAATTAGCCTAAGTGTTTCCTTAAGGACGGGGTTTATACTTACTCAAAGATGCTAAGTGTGTTATAGAGACTATTGTTCTTCGCAATAGTCTCATACTCGAAGATGCGAGGAGGAATCGGCAGACCCAGTTGTCTCATTAAGATGGCGGGAGGCTGAGATGTCGTAGGCGGTAGGAACTTCTTGTTGATTATCACCACAGTGACACCAGCCATTCCGAGGTTCTTCTGAGCGCCAAAGAAGATGGCTGAGTATTTGTTGACCGGGATCGTCCTTGAAAGAATATTGGAGCTCATGTCGGCCACGACAATCTGTCCATTCTCAAGGGACTTGGGAAACTCGGGGAATTCCACACCCTCAACCGTCTCGTTGTCACAGAAATAAACGAAAGCGGCATCCTGAGAAAGGTTCCAGGTGCTCTCATCCGGAATCGTTCCATACTTGCCGTTATTCGTCTTGCGGCTATCCGCCACAACGTTGATGTGCTCCGCGCCAAAGAGTCGCTCAGCTTCAGCTGACGCCTTCTGCGACCAGCTACCGGTGATGATGTAGTCCATCTTGAGATTCTTCACGGCCGCCTCGAGCTCCGGGCCCGAGCCACCCAGCTCCTTTTGTTTGCGCGCAACCCAAGCGCCGACAAAGTTGTAAGCCGTAGCAGCAAACTGGCCCGATCCGCCGCCCTGCATGAAGAGTACCTCGTAATCATCGGGGATATCGAGGTATGTCGCCAGATCAGCCTTGGCCTCGTTGATGATATTCGAAGCCAAGGCCGACCTATGGGAATGCTCAGCAATTCCCAATCCAGTCTCCTGGAAGTCGATCAGGGCGGCGGCAGCATTCTCAATTACCTCGGTAGGCAGAGCGGCTGGGCCTGCACCGAAATGGGTTATCTCTGCTCTGGAGGGCATGACGTATGAGGGGTATGGAGGGGTTGAATTGACCTGGTCAATTGAGGAGGGGTAGAAAAGATATTCTTAGAGAGGGAAAAATATCGCGAATTTTGGATCATGAAAGGAAAAAAATTTGGTTGCGATAATTATACAATTGTATGGTGCGAAAGATGAATAATACCCGGAGTTTAACAATGAGTCAATGATCCGCATGCATGGCAGATGAAGAACTCTTGCATTTCGAGACCGATTGCGGAGCGGCGTCGGGAAGAGTAACTTGGTTATGGGCTAAGCGAACATCCTGATGACTCTCACCAGACGTGGGAAGCAAAGACGGCGCTGGAAATCATGCATTTGAATAAATGTGCGCCACCCATCACGCGGTTTCGCGCTCCGTCGACGAAGAGTCAGTCGAGCGGGAACAGCCACAGGGAGAATAGGGAGAATAGGGAGACCTAGAGGGAACGCTGCTCCGTTGTCTCCATGGACATGTCTAGTTTACAAAAGGCGTGGGGAATTCAAGTAGCCCGCCCTGTGGATGCGTAGTTTATGTTCATAGAAAGTTGGCCTTCCAAGAAGCTTCAATTTAACTTTGTTGCGTGGCAGGGGGTTCTGCTTTGAGCGTGGGATGGACTTGGCGCGCCGGTCCGGCGGGCGGGCTGCGCGAACGACGAACGACTCTGGGATAGACTGGAGAGGGCCACACACTCCTCAGGATGTCCCAGCCATGACACACGGAGGGGGCCAGCCAGGTAGTCCCTCACGATTGCAAATCGGCATCATCAATTGGACCACACAAACGGGAAGCTTGATAAAAGCTAGGCAAACAGTTCGATGGTTGACTCACCTGTCCCTATGCAACTCCAGCGAGGGACGAAGCAAGGAATTAGGCCTGCATAAGTGTGACGTAAATCATCCCACTAGCCCACGGCTCACTCAGGGTCTCAGGGACTCGGGCTAAGGTGGGGGGTTGGGGGCATCGCATCCTCAGCTCGATGCATGCATGAGAGAGGGAATTGCCCTAGAGGAAGACTTGTGCGTGTGACAATGGGCTGTTGTTTCGTTGCCAAGACCAAGGATTCTCGAGTGGTCAAAGATGGATGTCTGACTTCACAAATTGTGAGGATGGTCAGTTAGAAATTGATGGAACCTGGGTATCAATTGAGGTTAAGACGATCCTGGAGAAAGATAGACGGCCATTGTTGAAAACATTCCGAAGTCTTTGGCATCTCGGCATCGGGTTCTTCAACCAGCCCTAGTGACTAATCAAGCTGGCCCGCTTCAGGATCGGGAGAGCTTGGCATTAAGGTTAAGGTTAGCGACGAGCTCGCCCCAGGAGCTATTCGAAAAGACGTAGTGTTAGTCTATTACGGTAAACTCATTAGCACCGAAGCCTCATACACCTAAGAGATATACTAGCCTTGGCTGTTCCTTGTCGTGCATTATCCTCGCAAACTCCCTTCTTAACCAAATCGTAGTTCAGGTTTACTGTTCGTCTAACAGTGGTGTATCATGCTGCCACAGTCTCGATCCACAAGTAAACGCAGATCAGCGACTAATGTGGATATTGTTGGCAGTACTTGGAGAATTCGCCTGCATCGGAGATTCGATGGCAACCTGAAGCACAACCCTAATGCGAAGGTAGCTGAGGTCCGAGCTTGTTGGCATAGTCGCCTTCATCGGAAAGAGGCGAGACCACTTGTCGGTAGTATATCATGGAACTAGACCAGCCACCGAAATCCAGTCTCAATCCTGTCATGCGAAGAAGTGAACTGGACACGTAGATTTTATGCGATATGCTGTGATGCAAGTTTTCAGGTTTCGATGGGCATATCTCCAAACGTCGACACGGAGGCAATCGCCAAAGGGGCTTGTCCGATGGAAGCGGTCTGTATCCTGCTTTGTGAAGCTGGCGAGCGTCAAGGATCAAGACATCCCGAAATTCAGGGCCACGGAGATTATATAGGAACTGTGAAAAACTGAGACCTTCATCAAGACCGAGAGTTTGAATATCAGAAATGAGCTATTTGGAAAATGGGTTGGGTAACTTACCAATGTTATCAAGGAACGTGTGGAGGTCGGGATGCCCTTGAATTTAAGGTAGGCAGCGGCTACCCCTTGGGATTCGACTTTGCTCGTAAAATCATAGCAGACCATAATACCAGACGAGAGCTCACTGTCAGACCAGGCGGTCTGTAGGTCTCGTTTAACCTCGGGTGTGACGTCTGTATATGGGTGCTATATAATGCCGTCAGCGATATTTCTGGCGTCGGTTTTGCTTGTTATAGTAACGACCGAAGCGCCAGTGCCTTTCTCGAATACACGCATAATGATTTGAGTTGGTTGAAGGGGAAAAAAGGCACAAAAAGCCAAACGGGACCCATATTCCAGCGTAACAGGGCAATAATGCCCTTTGAGCAACACCTATACATGTTGAGCCCGAATGCGGAGAGGTTCATAGAAGTGACAAATATTTGACAATCGGGATCGGTATTGTTGAACCGCTCTAAAGCTCAGTCTCTATCCGGTCCCGGAGTGCTCGAAGGCACGGGTTCCATGTTGAATCCGGTAGAATATATATAATATCATGTCGTACAAGGCGATGGTGGGATCATACTAACAACCTTCTAGGGCTTCGTATGTCCTTATATAGCCTTCAAGCTCGTTCGCGATTTGGAAAAGCTCTTACGCCGAAGAGGGCACGGTGGTGAACCACGGCGAGTCTTTCCATTATTATCCACACCTTGACTCCCACCCTGGCCGGCCCCGCTCCACTGGGGCCGGCGTTCTGAACAACCGGCGCACTAGTGGGAGCCGCAGGCGTCAACAGCAGACGGTCTATAGCGATAGCCGCAGCCACGAAGAAGCAGGTTAAGGCCCCGAGGATTTGGTTAGCGCTCTTAGCAGCAGAACGCAAGGCCTCCAAGGCCTCCAGAACCCACTCCTCGCAGAGCGCCAACACCATAGGAGCGGCGATATTAGCCTGTTTGGCTCCGGTCGCTCTCTAGTCTTCCTTCGGGGCCTCCAGAGCTACTTCAATTTCAGCCATACTGAGGAAAGGGCAGCCTACGCAGAGTTAACAAGGACATAGGAAGGATCAAAAGAAAACAGTAGGGACATACTATGTCGACAAGGGTCTGCCAGGCGACAGCAGTCACTGCGCGAGCAGCAACCAAAGCGTCCCCGGAAACGAGGAGGCACTCACAGAGGGTTCCCCCCAGCCGCACAGAGGTGGCACTTGGCGGATGCATTTAGAGAAATACGTTAGTAAATAACAGGCACGCACTGATGGGGACCCGCCGCTCTAAACTTCGCCCTACGCTGCTGACCGGCATCTAGACCTTCCTGAGGGCCGTGCCGTCGGTGTTGAGTAGGTGGATGGAGAACACGCTTCCATCCAGGTTGCTTTGTGCCTGTCGGGCCCAGACTCTGGCGACAGATTTCGCGGCCCGTATGACAATACTGGATGGACCGTCCACGAGGCACTGGTGGGGAGGATCCTGATCGAATGTGTCATGATCTCTGGGTTTTCGGAATCGTTCGCTTGGGCGGTTGTAGCTAAGCATTCCTTCTCAGTCCGTTGCCATAGATTGTCGGAGCCGAGCAACACAACCCCAAGTTGAAGGTGACTATGCTTGCCCAGGAATATGGGGGCGCAGACTGAAAACAGCACAACTTTGAGAAATGGTCCAATGGTCGGCGTGGTCGTAATGTGATTGGCGAGCTAAATTGCATCTCGAGTAAATTGTTCGTGACTAACACACAACCAAGCAAGGCAACTGAAGAAGGCCAGCGCAGCCAAGGGGCATAACGGGAGTATAACGAAGAAAATACTACTAAAGGCTTAGAGCATTTTGCAAATTAAAAGAAATAACTATCTAGTACCTCCTTAGCTAGGAGGACTTGAAAATTGATTTGATAGCTAGAATAATGACTGATAACTATTAACGCGAGGTTGAACTGCGACCAACGCGAGGTCGAACTGAGCTCAACGCGAGGTTGAACCGGGATTTAGATCTCCTTAACCAAGCCAGTTAGGCGGCTTTGGACCCTAACAACAGTAATGGATAGTTGCACAGGTTGAAAGGCCCCGAACATGTCCAATCCCCCCCCCCATTATCTACCTGTAACAAATTTTCCTTGTATTCCTCTCTTTTTTTTCCCCCCTGGTTCTAGGTTACTCCCTATGGCTGGGAAGGAGATAGTGTGAAAAGGAAGGCTTGGATATGTTAGTCTATTGAGAATAGGAACTAGGTATAAATTCTTGAATACCTACCACGGTTACGGGGGACAATCACAACTGAGATGGCATCTATCGATGACGTTTGAACAAGCGGGAGCACCAACTCCACGGCAGGTGGGGGTCACAGCTGGGCACGTCGGGCATTGACAGCGTTGGTCACAAGACCCGGTGCTGGTTGTGCTTCCCGAGGATGGAGGACAAGAGACCCCGAGAGCACGGACTGAACCTGGATCACAACCAGGCCCGGTGGGGGGGCTCAAAGTGGTGTCCGGGCAAGTGCAAATACATTTTTGCTCGCAGGTTCCCGTGCAGGTTCCCGTGCCAGTAGCAGATGCACCAGCTATAGCTGCAAAGACAACAAAGAAGTTCTCGAAGTGCATTTTTCAACAATATTTGGGGTGTAACCAAGACTCCGGTCGATATTGCTCAGTTTCAGCAACTGAATAATTAATGATTGCTGTTTAAAAATGGAAACCTTCCAAGGGAGAGCGGTCGAGGAGGCCATATTTATAGGCAACCGGGCGCTCCAAAATTATAAAATTTTCTTCTAGTATAATACTTTATGATGCTCCTTTCCGTCATTTCGCCGTCAAATCTAGGCTTGACCTACTCTAGGCTTTCTCGTCTAAGCCACCAGAAAGTTGAAGTTCCCCAATCAAGAACATATCGGCGGAGCAAAGTTTATGCGTGGTAGAGGTGTGTGTGTGCGTGTGTGTGTGTCTATTTAACGCTATGGTTGGGTCCCCGGCTCAGCCAGGTCCATATCCCTGCTGGG